TTTCTACAATCATTCTTATGTACCTAGCAGTTAACTATTCAGAGTCGCCACGAGCAACTAACCTTCGTCCTTATTCTGTCTCATCAATTATTGTTTCGCGTCGCGCGTCTTTCGGTCGGACATGTCCCCATGATTGAGAGAAATTTTGATTGAAAAAAGTTTTCCCTACCTCATTATATTTATATCAAACTACTGACCCGTTTACACATTTTTACGAGGGAATTGTGTTTGTCTGATTCTAATTCAGCTCCCTTAGCTAGCTTGGGAAACTTCATCTTTTCTTGTACTTAGGCTAAGTCTAGGGAATGATGCCATTATAATACAATGTCACATTAACGTCAGTCGGTGGCATGATTAGAATCGTGACCACGCGAGTGCAATGACGGCCAGTGGCGTAAATCTGTGCTGACGAGTGGGGGGGGGGGGGGGGGGATGGGGGATGACCAAAATCCAAAAATTCGGGCGATTCACAATGCAGTGCGCCACCAAGAGTTTGCCATGGAGAGTCAGTTTTTCAAATGACGGTCGACAAACATGGCCCATTTGAATGAGTGTCATTAAACAAGTTTAGCTAAGTGGTTATAAATTCGGGTATAGCGTTCTGCCGCCTTACTAAAAACACCATATTGATACTAAGAAAAGAAAAAGGGAATTTTTTTACTCGAATCATACGCTTACGAAACTACTCACCGGAAAAAGACTAACAATTTCAAATGTCCCGCGCTGCGAATTTGTCGACCATCTCCCACAATGCACTAGGAAAAATGAACTTTCCGTGGCAAACTCTTGGTGGCACATGAAACGCCCGAATCGCCTGGCCCTGGACATTCGAAAAAGGGGGGGGGGGGGGTGGCTGCACACCACATTATACTGGGACGTTCTTTATCAATTATGTATACTCCCGCTTACATTTGTAAAACCTTTTGTACTTTGTTTCTCCATTTTTCAGTGCTATTGAATACAAGTTGCTGGGACGTTCGGAAAATACCTGAAAATTTTTTTCTCATCACAAAAAGTGGGGGATAATTATATAGCCCAAGCCCGCGGTCAAAAAGTGTGTGTGTGGGGGGGGGGGGGGTACCCCGGGAATTACACACTTTTGCATTTCAAGTGAGGAGATCATTTTTAAACGCGATCGTAATGCTTTCATGTGCGTTTGAGGGGATTTTGGTTTGTGACCTGATGTGGCAAAATGAGGAATGTCCCCCAAAACCATGTTATGGGTAATCAACGCCTGAAGTTGGATACACTAGGAAAATCATGTAATAAGAACCGGAAAATGTCCCTGTCCAAAAAAAAACCCACATAATAAAAATATGTGGCTATAGATTGGGCCTATTGGGAGTGGGGGTACAAGGACGGATCCAGAACACACTTTTGTTGGGGGGGGGGGGTGGGGGGTGTACAAATCAATCCAGGCCAAACTGGTATAGGTCCTAGCTCTAACAGCCTGTTGGCACCAATTCTCGAGGGCGTCATTCGCTTCTCAAAGTGGGGGTGGTACATACATGTATATCTTGATCAGAACGAATTGTGCAAGAGCGAAGCCTAAACGGCGCGGGGTTCGGGGCCCGCTTATTAAAAGGGCCCCTAAAAAAACATTGGATTCTAGGCACCCTGTAGTGCGATCTGAGGCAATTTCTGACGACTGCCAAAGTTTTAGCACAAGATTATCATTTAAACATCTGTTTTCGAGTTTGGAGTCATTAAATCAGCTGTTCTGAGCTATAGAATCAAATGTAGGCTACATATTTTTATTCAGGAACGAAAAACGTTGGGATACGACATTAGTCCCCCATTTCCCACCGATCGACGCCCAGGGTTGGCACCGTGCTTTAGGACGACAGACTTTATACGTACATTTTTATACGTAGGGGGTCAATGCATACATGCTGTACAGTGTCAGTTGGTGGAATCGAAAATCCTGAGAGAGACCCTAAAACTTTTTTAAAAACTTTTCTCTGCGCGTGTGGGAGAATTGCCATCTAAACCATCGAGGACATCCTGGATCCAAGAGATTGGTTGCCAGTCAGGGATTGTCTTGCTGTTCAACTCCCGATAGTTCTAACACAGACTATCGGAGAAGAATATAGTGATGTAGACTTTGCAATTCATCCTTGGATTATGAGATCTTGGAGGTTCTCTTAACCTCCCTGTATAGAGGGCGGGGCACAAAAAGGTAGGTCTTCTGGACCGACTTGTTGTCTTTGAGTTTGATGTTCATTTTGAGGTTGGTAATGCATGCCATGTCATCGTCATCCTTCGCGAAGGCTCCAACCTCTTCCTTCAACACTTCTTCTGCTGATCGTCTCTCCTCTTCAGACAGATGACTTGATGACAGCCTGTGCGCGTGTGTGTTGGTGAGTAGCGTTAGAATGCAATCATTGATCTCCATAAGTAATGGGGATCAATGAACGCAACCCATTCGTCAACTAGGAGTAATTCACGGTGAACACGCGTTACAAACGACGCGATTGGAACGCAGCATAAGTGTAGCTTATAATAAGGGTAATCGCTAGGTGCTCGTCCGATCTCTAAACCGTGGCATTATCCAGCTGAGCCATCAGAGAGCTCGACAGAAAACCGAAATTCATGGCATTGCGTATACGTATAATAAGAGTATCGTAGAGGCGCTCAACAACCATCCACATAAAGTTATTTTGGAAAAAAAAATTCTTAGGCTGCCCCACCCCCCCCCCCTTGACACCAGATTCAGATTTTGAATTCAAAATGTTATTGCCTAAAGTAAATCTGCAGATAAAAATCAATTTGCAAGTGAACCTTTTCAATTAACACCAATGTTGGACCTAGCCTTAGCCAAAAGGAACTTACATTCTAAGTGCCCTGGCAAGTGGCTTTTTGGATGGTTAAAAATGGGGCTGAAAATGCAGTTTTGCTTGTCGCAAAAGCAAGCTGTTTGGTAGGGCCTAACAATAATATAAAGATGAATTTTCAAAATTGAATTCATTTTTTTCTCGTAAGGGTAAGGATGATGCTTTGTCTTGATATTGTTTTTCTGTGTGTGACATAAGTTCGATTTTGGATTGATCACCTTCGAAAGTAACGCGAAAAATGAATGTTTGCAGCCCCCAGATTTGCCCAAAACGTGGACTGGCGAGAACTTCATACTCTACTCACATTGAACGGAAAGGCTCCCTTTTAATGTTGCTTTAATGTAAGCATCAAGGACCGCACGACATGTACAGACAAAACACTCCCTTTGTTCGTACCAGTGTGAACCATTTCCATAGAGAAACGATTCAATTCCACGAGGAGAAATTAAACTGGAATTTCTTATACGAAGAAAGATAAACAAACAAAAAACGTCACTTAGTGCACATTTTATCCAGTGCACATCTTTTTTATGAATACTCAAAGTATTCATAAATTGAGTTATCGTCCAATTTTCCCAGTGACTTCTCATAATTCAAATCTCTGTTCCAACCTAAAAATGACAAAGATGCTTTTAGCGTTTTCTAATGGTCATTGTAAAATCACCTCCATTCGGCATGTTGACAGTTTGGGACAGGGTGTTTTCGATGAAGATGCTTGTGAAATTACAAACCATTGACATGCATTTTATTCTCCTACATTTTCATCATTATCAAGCATTAATACAGCCACTAGTCCACAAAGGGATACAAACACAAATATTTGTATATTTCAGCAATATATACCAAGCTTTAAGTTCATTTCGCTTTTGTTTTGCTTTTATCGTATTGGCCAAGTTATTTACAAATTATCCGATTGGCCAAGTTATTTATAAATTATCCTAACAGCAAAGTTATCATCGAATCATCCTATATTGGCCAAGTTATTGCAAATAATCCGTTTAACGAAGTTATTTACAAATTATCCTCTTTGCCAAATAATTTACAAATCATCCTATTTGCAACTTAATTACAAATCATCCTATTGGCCAAGTTTTTTTTCTTCAAATCATCCTATTGGCCAAGATATCATCAAATCATCCTATTGGCCAAGTTATTTACAAATCATCCTATTTGCAACTTAATTACAAATCATCCTATTGTCCAATTTTTTTTCTTCAAATCATCCTATTGGCCAAGTTATCATCAAAGCATCCTATTGGCCAAATTATTTGCAAATCATCATATTGGCCAAGTTATTTGCAAATCATCCTATCGGCCTAGTTATTTGCAAAACATCATTATTGGCACAGTAATCATCAAATCATTTCACTGAGAAAGTTATTTACAGATCATCCTATTTGCAACTTAATTACAAATCATCCTATTGGCCAAGTTTTTTTTTCTCAAATCATCCTTTTGGCAAAGTCATCATCAAATCATCCTATTGGCCAAGTTATTTGCAAATCATCCGATCCTATTTATCTTAATTACTTCATCATCCTATTAGTTTAAGACTTAACAGAATGATACCCATTACAACAGTGTTCTTTAAACATTGCAATATGTTGTCCCAGCCCCCGGGTGCTCCCCCCCCCCCCCACTTCTTCCAAAATATTTGACTTGAACAAAAAGAATATAACACAGATTCCATCCTCTTAACAGATTATCTCCTGTAAATAGTTTGGATTCGGTACTCGCTGCTACAACCTCGAACCAGCCAGTTGACCAGCCCTAGAACAACACAATGCGTGGAGCCTAAGGCCACATGCGCACGTAATAAAATTACCTTGCATGTAATAAAAGATGTTTATATCGCCGCGGCAAAATGGTAAGATAATAATTTGCCGCGACAAGATACCAATTTATATATTTCTTCACTGGTTTTGGCTCGTCTAGGCATCTGTAACACTGAGTATACCGTGTTTGTAAAATACGTCAGTGGAGGATAAAACCCAATATAAAATTATTCATGTCTTCAAGACAGTCTTGTTTTATTTCCAAACCGACCAGTTATGTATATTTAGTTTTTTTCGAATTGTCTACTTTGAATACCGAATGAACGGTGAAGCCAGTAGGAGTCAGCTCATATAGGCCTAAACCAACGTTTCGTCCCTGTTCTCATTTCCTTTAAGACAGCACAAAAACCCTCTTTACTTGTTCTGAGACAAGACAGATTTCAGCCAGTCAGATGGTTCAGGTATCTGAGAGTAGCGACAGCGAAGGATCTTTCGAAGCACCAACTTGAACTGAGGATGCTTTGCCGTGTAGATCATGGGGTTTACGCAGCTATTCAGGATTGTGATTGTTCCTAAGTAGAGAGCAAATTGACGACTGCTTGGTACGGCCAGAGAAATGAAGTAAGGTGATATCAACACGAAGAAAATGCAAAAAACCATGAAGAGATTCTTGGTGATTGCAAGCTGCTGACGGCTGATTTCTCGCCGGTTGCATTTGGCTACGTTGTTGGTGGAAATCTCTGGTCCTGTGGACTCGTTCGATACGCTTAAACTGACGGTTGACTGCGGCCCTACTGTTTTGTTATCCCGTGCTGGGCTATCTTGCTGAGTGCGTCTCCTCTTCTGCTTCCTGAAGTGACGTTTGAGATGGATGTAGAGTGCCGCGTAGGCACTGATTATTACAAGAAGGGGGACCGGGAACAGACCAAGAGACTGAGCCAGGTTATACTCTGCGCCGCGGGGATGGTCATCCTTGTCTGAACACGTGTTGTCCTGAGAATCATAACCAAAGTCGCCAATGCCAAGAATTGGCGGCAAGAAGAACACGATCGACGGGATGACCCAAGTCGCAGCAATCATGGCGGAGACTTTTCTCGGGGAGTACCAACGACTGTATGTTGCAGGTTTCTGGGTGACCAGCATGAAGCGATTGAAGGCTATCGCCGCCAATGAGTAAAGGCTTGCACCAAGACCAGTGTAAAATTGCACTGCGGCGATGTAGCATGGGACCTCTGTAGCTAACGGCCAGGACCCGTGGCTCAGCATAGCGACGGCCTGCCACGGGTAGGACAGACTCGTCCAGAAATCGGCCAGGCTGAGGTTGACCACGAAGGCGTTGGTCACCGTGCGGAGTTTCTTGGACAGGACGACCGACCAGATCACGAGGCTGTTCCCAATGAGTCCAAGGACCGCGGCAAAGACCCATACGCAGGCCACGCCGATGCGGGCCTCGTACGGGTGGAGAGATGGGCTAAGGGTAGCCGGTTCCATGGTGGTGACGTTCATGATCGACGATGTGTTATTCATGTTATGCTGTAATGGGCTTCGATGCAAATGCATTGATACAAAGGTAACAACTTCACGGCTTGTCAGTTCGTATGGTATGCCAACATCTGCATCATCCAATGAACAAAATGTCAGCGCGCGGTCTTTGTGCAACCAATCCAGAAAGGTGTCAACGGTTAACATTGTCATAAGAACATTAAAATGATGCTTTTGTTGCGAGAACGGAGTGACAAACACATATTTCGCTGCAGATGCATCTTTATGATTAAATTAATCTTAATGTGGATGTCTATTATGTACAGCACGTTGGCGGTGCCTTACGGCGCACTGATAATTTGTGAGACATGTCTTCGTACAAAAGCTGCACAAAACACAGACAAAAAAAAAAGTCTAGGTGTGTTTCCACTAAACTCGAGAAGTGTGTGGTTAAAGAGTAACCACATTGTGGTTATTCAGTGGCGTTGATAGGTTTAACTTGAATGTGGTAAATTTTTTGCTCACTTCAAGACTTTAAATAGGGGTGCACCCGGTGGGGCACGGACATCCGCTGCGGGGCACGATATACTCTTGAAGTATATGTGGTTTAAAGAGTAACCACATTGTGGTTATTCAGTGGCGTAACTAGGGTTAAACATGCTGAGGGGGCACCTGGCGTGCAAAGGTGGAACTGAAGGCAAGTGATATCTATTTCGTTAAGTTCAAGACAATAATGGGGGCACACCAGGGGAAGGGGGCACGGACATCCGCTCTTTACCGTTTTCACGAAGAGGCGAATTTAGTATTTCACTGTCTGAACAAACATTTGAGATAATCGCGTTTAAAGTTGGTCCTTTTTTCATTTGACAATTTGAAACTTAAGGAGGCATAAAATATGCAAGATTTAGGTATCACAGGAAAGAAGAGCTTCTAATCTTCCTAAATGTAGCAAACTTTAAGAAAAATAGTTGATTAGTTTTGCAGAATTAATCAATTAAGAGAAGTGGCTGTTCGTGAAAACGAAAAAAAAGCCCAATTAGCAAATTCGCCCCTTCGTGAAAACGCTAAAGTGACTACGCGCCGATTTCGCCCTTCTGCGGTCTGAGTCAATGCATTTTTTGTACAGTACGCGCAGATTCTGCCCCACTGCGCATGCGCCTTGAAATTCGCCCCTTCGTGAAAATGTTTTATTGCACGCGCATAGAATTCGCCCCTTCGTGATATACGCGCCATTGTATTACAATGTATTTATTTACTGAAAATTGATTAATGCCATTGAGTGCGGAAATTCGCCCCTTCGTGAAAACGCAAAACGGCACTTTTGGCAAATTCGCCCATTCGTTAATTAGATCAATTAAGATTTTGATTAATTTTTTGAAAGTATAGCCTCACCAGGTTGTAGATATTGATATGTTTATTCATTCTCACCAAAAAAACCCAAATTTTGAAAAACAGACGATTTTCAAGAAATTCGCCCCTTCGTAAAAACGGTGACGCGCTGCTTGGCACGTGTCCCCCTCCCGTGCCCCTCCCCTCCGTCATAGTTACACCACCGTATTTAACACTTTGTAATCGTCAACTGTATTCAACATCAAAGCTAGAAATTATTTCCAACTAGTTGAATACTAGTACCGGCACTTTTAAGTAAATGAACATGGTAATAAATAGTGAAATTTAGCCTAATCGATATATTATGAAAAGGGTGGTTTCCGGAAATCGAAAATGCACGAAGTCGGATAGATCGCCTAACGTGACGCTAGAGGTGAAAATCGAAGCCCCAAGACCGGGCAGACTTGCTTTAAAAGGCTGGGTAGCCTACGACATGAACTGGTATATCAGTCTAAAGTGTATTTCCTGAGTTTTACTTTTTTGTCCAATAAGTATAATCTAATATTATAGCTACTTAAAAAAAATCGTGGAAGGCCCCTCAAAATGTTGGAGTGATCAAGGACCTGCGCCAGAAAGGCCCGTACCGTACGTTAAGAAGCTACTATGCACTCATTGGGGACGTGGGATGTCAGCACCGCATCAACACAGACTCCTGTAGATTAGTAGATTACATGACTGTGAAATAAAAAAAACGGCATCTGCGAATGAGCACAGGGAGATAATCATCTACTCTTGTGTCATTTTGAAATATTATGTTTGACACCTCGTTCGTACTTCCTCCTAGACAACACGGATTTCAGCCAGTCAGATGGTTCAGGTATCTGCGAGTAGCGACAACAAAGAATCTTTCGAAGTACTTCCTTGAAATGAAGATGATTAACCGTGTAGATGATGGGGTTGACGCAGCTATTCAGGATGCTGATGGTTAGTCCGTAGAGAGCAAACATTCGACTGCTTTGAATAACCAGAGAAATGAAATAAGGAGACATCAACAAGAAGAAAACGCAGAAGACCATGAAGAGATTCTTGGTGATTGCAAGCTGCTGATGGCTGATCTTTCGCCGGTTGTTTTGAGCTACGTCTTGAGTGGGCTTTCCTTGGGACTCAGTCGATACGCTCAAACTGACGGATGACTGCCCAACTTCCTTGTCATCTTGGGCTAGCCTTTCTTGCTGAGTGCGTCTTCTCTTCTGCTTCCTGAAGTGACGTTTGAGATGGATGTAGAGTGCCGTGTAGGAACTGATGATGATGAGCACGGGGACCGGGAACAGACCAAGAGACTGAGCAATGTTGTGCTCATGGCCGCGGGGATGACCATCCTTGTCAAAACACGTGTTGTCCTGAGGATCGTAACCATAGTCGCCAATTCCAAGAATTGGCGGCAAGAAGAACGCGATCGAAGGGATGACCCAAGTCGCAACGATCATGGCGGAGATTTTCCCGAAGTGTACCAACGACTGTATGTAGCAGTTTTCTGAGTGACCAGCATGAAGCGATTGAAGGCTATTGCCGCTAATGAATAAAGGCTTGCACCAAGACCAGTGTATAACTGCAAAGCGGCGATATAGCAGGGGACCTCTGTAGCTAACGGCCAGGACCCGTGGCAGAGTGCGACGGCCTGCCACGGGTAAGACAGACTCGTCCAGAAATCGGCCAGGCTGAGGTTGACCACGAAGGCGTTGGTCACCGTGCGGAGTTTCTTGGACACAACGACCGACCAGATCACGAGGCTGTTCCCAACCAGTCCGAAGACAGCGGCTAAGATCCACACACTGGCCACGCCGATGCGGGCATTGTACGGGTAGATAGATGGGCTAAGGGTCGCTGGTTGCATGGTGGTGAGGTTCATGATCGACGATGTGTTATTCATACTCATCAAAGCCATGTGTGAATTTGTCTGGTCTGATCTGAACACTAGCATGAAATTCAGTTTGGAGCAAATTGCATTTTAGTTCATGTAGGCCGATATATGACGGGAATATGAAAGCGTGTGCTATAATGCGCTTTGATACAAAACTAACAGCTTCACCGCATTCCACGTCTTATATAATTGGCAATATTTGCATCATTAACAAGAGTGTAAATGAAAGGACAAAACGACATTTTGCTGCAGAGGCGTTTTCCCAATGAAATCTTAAAGTGGATGTCTATATGTACAGCACGTTGGTGGTACCTCATAGCGCACTGATAATTTGTGAGACATGTCTTCTTACAAAAGCTGCACAAAACACACTCAGCTCTAATTGTGTTTCATGTAATACACTCTTAACATGCGTGGTTAAAGATTAACCACATTGTGGTTATCAAGTGGGGTAACTACATGTATGGGGTTAAACGTCTGAGCTGAGGGGTGCTCTTAAGGGAAGTTATATATATTTTTGTTCAATTCAAGACTTTAAATGGGGGGGGGGGGGGGGGGGTGTCACCCAAGGGCACGGACATCCGCTCGGGGCATGCACCCCCGTGGCCCCCATAGTTATGCCACTGTGGTTATTATTTACCCGTAGTCGTCAAATGTATTTAACACAAAAGTTACAAATTTTCAACTAGGTGAATATTGGTAGTTTTACGTAAAAGAACAAGCTTATTGATAGTCAAAAGTTAATCGATAAGTGAAAGGGTTGTCACGGTTACCGAAAATTGAGCATGCGCAAAATCGAATAGGTCGCCTAACGTGGCGCTAGAGGTGCAGAATCGAAATGCCAAGATCCGGACTGGTTTTAAATGCCGGGTATTAACCTACAACATGTACTGGTATGAGCTCCGTGCGCTACCAAAGGAGGGCGCCCTTTCACCTAACAACGACGTCCCATGGGTGGGACATTTCGCTGGTTGACGCGCACCGTTCCTTGTGTGTGACGCACGTACACCAGGGGATTTGTACTATTTACACGCGCAGTGGCCGCGCTTCGCGGCAAATGAATTGCAGTCAGGCAAGATGGCGTCGGTCGGTCACTCCCAACTGTACTTCCTTTGCCGGTGAGGGGGTGCTTGTGAACGGAGCGGATATCAGCCCGAACTGTAAGTCACTGGAGATACCTGAACTTTCCTTGTTTGCTCAATACTTATGTTCTAAGATTGAAGCTACATGTACTTAAAAAAAAAAAATTGTGGAAGGCCCCTCAAAATGTAGGGTGCCTGAAACTGAAAGGCCCGTACGTTAATCCGCTATTATGCACTTATCAGGGACGTGATCATGATGTCAAATTTGCGTCAACACAGTCTCCCGTATATTGATTAGTAAATTACGTGACCGTGAAATAAAAAAAAAAGACCGGCAACTGCAAATGAGCCGAGGGAGATATTTATCTTAGTTACGGTGTACTTGTGAAACATTATTTCTTACTTCCTTCTCGACAACACGGATTTCAGTCAGTCAGATGGTTCATGTATATGCGAGTAGCGACAACAAATAATCTTAGGAAGTACTCCCTTAAAATGAAGATTTGAAGGGTTGACGCAGCTATTCAGTTCAAGATGCTGATGGTTAGAAGAGAGCAAACATTCGACAGCTCGGTATAATCAACGAGACGAAGATGCATATTGGTGGGTTTCCCTGGGGAATCGGTCGATACGCTGAAACTGACGGTTGACTGCCCAACTTGCTGGTCACCCTGGGCTGGGTTATCGTGCTGAGTGCGTCCCCTCTTCTGCTTCCTGAAGTGACGTTTGAGATGGATGTAGAGTGCCGTGTAGGAGCTGATGATGATGAGAATGGGAACTGGGAACAGACCAAGAGATTGAGCCAGGTTGTACTCTGGGCCGCGGGAATGACCATCCTTGTCTGAACACGAGTTGTCCTGAGGATCGTAACCAAAATCGCCAATGCCAAAAATTCGCGGCAAGAAGAACACGAGATAAGGGATGACCCAAGTCGAAGCGATCATGGCGGAGACTATTTCCGGGGAGTACCAACGACCCTATGTCGCAGGTTGCTGGGTGACCAGCATGAGTAAAGGCTAATACCACAGACCAGCGTTTAACTGCACAGTGGCGATGTAGAATGGGACCTCTTTAGCTAACGGCCAGGACCCGTGGCTCAGTATGGTGACGGCCTGCCACGGGTAAGACAGACTCGTCCAGAAATCGGCCAGGCTGAGGTAAATTGACCACGAAGGCGTTGGATGGACACCGTGCGGAGTTTCTTGGGCACAACGACCGACCAGATCACGAGGATGTTCCCTTTTGCGGACGTTGAAGAAACCACAAATTGTTGCATTGGTGATTGGTCATCGCGCGCTGTTCCCGAGACACACAACGTGTATAGCGTTCACTGAGAACGACACGAAAAACGTATTCGTACTCCGTCATGTCCGATCTTTTTTTTTCGTCTATTCTCGGGAACGGTAAGACATGGTTGGTTTCCTTTCAACCAGAAGTAAACAATCCAAAACATAACATTTTCGGGGATTTCAGGACCTAGTGCCCCTTTACAGTATAAGCACCTATTCTCGAGGTAAAAGTTACCAATATTCAACTACTCGAACATAAATGAACATTCTACTAAATTAATAGTGCCACGATATTTAATCTAAATGTGAAAAAAATGTGGTATGTATCCAGGATTTGGTATGCACAATATGGGATAGGTGGCCCAACGTGGTCCTACTAGGATGAACAATCGAAGTAAGAACAAATACACTTGTTTTACATGTCAGTTACATGAACTATCAGTCGAACTTCATGTTTTGGCCCAATTAATGTACGTTCGTTGATAATACATGTATAGGCTATAGCAATTACACTCTTAAAACTCCCTGGCAAGGTTCGACCCGGAATTCACGTCATGCTTCACCCTTCACTCCACTTGGTCAAAATTACCGAACAAAACACTTTTCTTGGTCAAAATCAAAAATTTTATGTCAAAATTTACACTTCTTCTTCTCAAAATGACAAGTGTTTGTGTCAAAGCGACATTTTCCGGTCAACATGCATGGCATTATTTATGTGTTTCAGATTGACATATTTCCGGGTGAAAAATCCCGAAAAGTGACCCAGAGAAGTGACATTTTAACCCGAAAAAAGTGTTGGGTCACATTTTACTCAGATTTAAGAGAGGGTAATGCTTTTTTATTCCGATCTGCATTTTTTCCAATCACCTTTAGCAGATTTTACGCCTGACTGTAATCATACCTCCCCAATTAGTTTCTTGTTTATTTACTGTCCAGTTTTTCTCAGGATTCTACTAGTGGTATCTCCGTTGTGGTTATGCGTACGTTTGATTGTATAATAAAAAAAGGTTTAAAGGCAATCGCTGGAAACCGTGCTGTTTGTTGGATAAACTCGGTGTCATCATCAAAGTGTTTTGTTTTTTAAAAAAAACTGGGTGCATCTTAAATTATTATGTGGTAAGGTAACTTAATTAACAATTCAGAGTCGTCTGAAAGCAAAATGTAAAGATTTGATTAGTTGTATGTTCCCAACCTCGAACATTTTGTGGACATAAATACGACGTCTATTGTAAGTTAATAATGGAACAACCTGCGCTCGGTTAAAATGGTTTGTGTTGGAGAAAAAGCGGGCAGGAGGTACTGTAGGGATCTACCCCGTGGAGCTCTTACACTTTTAACTGCACTGTTAAGTTCGCTTTACAGCAATGAGTAGTTGGTTTACTTTTGGCTTTATAGTATGCCCGCGCCTGTATGGGAAGTAGTTCTAGCCACTTTTACAATGTTGATTCCGTCACATTGAGATGGGGATTACTTTCTAGTGTTGCTTTGCAAATTATCTTGAATCTTTTGGATATTGATTTAATGATGATTGGAGCCGGTTTATAACATTTTGTAGTACTTTACCGCCCACGGATATCCAAATTAGTCAACCGTGTTATTTGATCCGCGGGGCCGGGTCTTGCCCTTTTTTTCATGGCTGAATCCCTGTGCTGCGGAGCTCGTACACTAATCGGGCGGCAAATTCAGACAACTTGGGTTCTGAGCCTCCTGCCTGGTCCTAGGAGTGTCCGTCCACCCCTTGAGTTCATTCTCCTCCCAAACGGAGGCCTAGGCCTCGTCAACAGCCGGCGTGGCCCCGCCGTGCCCCCGACCCCCAGCTATGCATTTTAGGCATTTTGTGAGTCAAAACCATGTTTTCTGTGCCCAAACCTATCAAGTTTTGACTGTAGAGTAAGGTTCATGGTCACATGCGCATACTGAGAATTCAGTATTGCTGCCATTGGCACGAAATGCCGGCAGTGGATGCCCGGGGACCCCGCGTGCGCCCCCTCCCCCCACCCCCCCCCCCCCCCCCATTACAGTCTCCAATGGAACAAAAATATATGTCACTTGCCCTGAGTGCCCAAAAAATGTATGCACCCCATGTTCCCCTTCAGACGTATAGTTACGCCACTGAATAACCACAATGTGGTTACTCTTTGACCACACACTTTACGAGTTTAATGGAAACACAATTAGAGTTGACTGCGTTTGTGAAGCTTTTGTACGAAAGCACGTCTCACAAATTATCAGTACACCATGAGGTACCACCAACGTGCCGTACATAAAAGATATCCATATTCAATTCATCAAGAAACTGCATCTCCCGAAAATAATTTGTTTTTGTCCGTTCATTTTCCCAACACAAGCATCATTCCAATTTTGGTATGACAATGTTAAACATTGACTCCTTTCTGGGTTGGTTGCACAAAGACCCAGCGCTGAAATTGTGTTCATTCAATGATCGAGATATTTGCAATACCATACGAATTGACAAGCGGTGAAGCTGTTAGCTTTGTATCAAAACGTTTGTATCAACTGAGACAGTTAGGCCTATAACAAACGCTTAACACCCTGCATATGGGCCTACATGAACTAAAATGCACCTACAAATATACTTCTGAACTAAATGCCGTGCTAGTTTTCCGATCAGACTGGACAATTTCAAATATGGCTTTGATGAGTATGAATAACACATCGTCGATCATGAACGTTACCACCATGGAACCGGCTACCCTTAGCCCATCTCTCCACCCGTACAATGTCCGCATCGGCTTGGCCTGTGTATGGATCTTAGCCGCGGTCCTTGGACTCGTTGGGAACAGCCTCGTGATCTGGTCGGTCGTCCTGTCCAAGAAACTCCGCACGGTGACCAACGCCTTCGTGGTCAACCTCAGCCTTGCTGATTTCTGGACGAGTCTGTCTTACCCGTGGCAGGCCGTCGCCATACTGAGTCATGGCTCCTGGCCGTTAGCTACAGAGGTCCCATGCTACATCGCCGCCGTGCAGTTTTACACTGGTCTTGGTACAAGCCTTTACTCATTGGCAGCGATAGCGTTCAATCGCTTCATGCTGGTCACCCAGATACCTGCCACATACAGTCGTTGGTACTCCCCGAGAAAAGTCTCCGCCATGATCGCTGCGACGTGGGTCATCCCTTCAATTGTGTTCTTCTTGCCGCCAATTCTTGGCATTGGCGACTTTGGTTACGATCCCCAGGGAAGTACCTGTACCGACAAGGACGGTCATCCCCGCGGCCCAGAGTACAACCTCGCTCACTCTCTGGGTTTTTTCCCAGCACCTCTGCTTATCATCATCGGTGCCTACACGGCACTCTACATCCATCTCAAACGTCACTTCAGGAAGCAGAAGAGAAGACGCACTCAGCAAGATAGCCCAACACGGGATAACAAAGCAGTTGGGAAGTCCACCGTCGGTTTAAGCATATCGACCGAGTCCACAGGACAAGGGATGTCCATCAACGACGTAGCCAATTGCAACCGGCGAGAAATCAGCCGTCAGCAGCTTGCAATCACCAAGAATCTCTTTATGGTTTTCAGTATCTTCTTCTTGTTGGTGGCTCCTTATTTCATCGCTCTGGCCGTACCTAGCAGTCGTACGTTTGCTCTCTATGGGGCAACCATCACTATCCTGAATAGCTGTGTAAACCCCATCATCTACACTGCAAAGCATCCTCAATTCAAATTGGTGCTTCGAAAGATCCTTTGTTGTCGCTACTCTCAGATACCTGAACCATCTGACTGGCTGAAATCTATCTTGTCTCGGAGGAAGTAAAAACGGTTTTTGCCTTGTCTGAAAGGAGATGAGAACGGAAACGAAACGTGGGTATAGGCCTATTATAGGGTAAACCTTTTATTGTGACTCCTGCTGGCTTCACCGGTGGTGCAAGGTAGACAAATTCGAATAAAACTAAATACATAACAGGTCGGTTTTGTAATAGAGCAAGACTGTGTCTTGTTGAATACATGAATATTGTTAATTTCGTAAAGTCCTTCACTGACGTATTTTACAAACACGGTATACTCAGTGTTACAGATGCCTATAAGGGCCACAACCAATTAAAAACAAATACAAATTGGTATGTTGTCGCGGCAAATAATTGTTACCTTACCATCTGGTTTCGGCCAATCAGATGATTTGTACGTAACAGTAGGATGATTTGTAAATAATTTGGTCAATATATGATTTGTAAATAACTTGGCCAATAGGATGATTTGGAAAACATTTGGTCAAAAGGATGATTTGCAAATAACTCGGCCAATAGGATGATTTGTCAATAACTTGGCCATAGGTTAATTTGTAAAATAACTTGGCCAATTACATGTATTTTGATTTGTAAATAACTTGTTCAATAGGATGATTTGTATTAAGTGGGCAAATTGGGGGATTTGTAAAATTAATAACCAAATTATGTGCTCAACTCTGAAAGGAAAAGAAAAAAGTACGGCTTACTTAGAGTAAAGGTGGAGTGGAAAACATGCCTTTGATTAAGTTCTTTTGTAAAAATATATCAAAACTAAAGCAAACTTAAAACCATGTATTTATTGTTGCAACATACACGTATTTGTGTTTGTATCCTTTTGTGGGCTGGTGGTTGTATTAATGTTTGATATTGATAAAACTGTACGAGAATAGAATGCTTGTCAACGGTTATTACATTTCACAAAAACACCCCCTCCCCGATATATCTGGACGCATTTACATTAGAAATTGCTGAATGGACCTTGTTTTTTTCCAGGTTCGAACAAACGCTGATGTAAAGCACAGGCAGGCACCAGACTATTCTTCATTTACATACGTGTCCAAAGCTTTTGGACATGCAAATGATCCAATACCGTATTGAGTGAGAGCAGGTAGTGGTGGGCGCGTACTGCTCGACGCCCTGGGAACGAGGTTGATAGGAGTCTTTCGGGTCCAGGTTTCAGAGCTTGCAGATCTTAGAACGTATTTAATGGGCCAAAATAGGAAAGTTCAGGTATCTTCAGTGAGTACAGTTCAGGCTGATATAGTTCATGTGATGTCGTGGACTACCAGGTATTATATTTAGCAAGTCTACCCGTTAATTCTTGGCGTTTCGATGTCTCGCCTCTATAGCACCACGCCAGCAGACCTACCGGAGTTGGTGCCCAATTACCGGAAACTACCGTTTTCAATGATCGATTAACTTTCACTACCAATTAGCATGTTCATTTGCGTAAAAGTACCAATTATTCAACTAGTTGGGAATTTGTTTCATTTATGTTAATTACAGTTGAAGACTACAAATTGAAAAAAACAACAGTGGCGTAATTAAGGGGGGGGGGGACGTCCCGGCAGCGGATGTCCGTGTCCCCGGATGATCCCACCCCCCCCCCCAATTTTTAGTCTTGAATTGAACAAAAATACCACTTGCCTTCAGTGCCCTCCATGAACAATGTATGCACCCCTATAGGTGCCCCCTCAGACATTTAACCCTATAGTTACGCCACTGAATAACCGTAACGTGGTTAATCTTTAACCTTGCACTTTGAGAGTAAAATGCAAACACATTATTAGTAGAGCTGATTGCGTTTTGTCAAGCTTTTAATTGTACGAAGACATGTCTAATAAGTTATCAGTGCGCCATGAGGTACCACCGACGTGCTATACATGTAAACACCCACATTAAGATTTCATCGGGAAAATGCATCTCCAGGGAAATATGGGTTTGTTTTGTCCTTATCATTTTCCCAACACAAGCATCATTTCAATTTTGATTCCACAATGTTAAACGTTGCCTCCTCTGTGGATGGGTTACACAGGTATGATGAAAAACGCTGCGCTGACATTTTGTTCATTTAGTGATGCAGATATATTGGTGATACTATACGACCAGACTTACGGTGAAGCTGTTAGTTTTGTATCAAAGCGTTTGTATTCTGCGCATCATGCGGCATGTAGGCATACGTGAATTAACATGCAACTACTTCTAAACTAGTTTGCAGGTCTAACTGGACAAATTAAAACAAGGCTTTATGAGTATGAATAACACATCGTCAATCATGAACGTCACCACCATAGAACCGGCTACCCTTAGCCAATCTCTCTACCCGTACAATGTCCGCATTGGCGTGGCCTGTGTGTGGATCGTAGCCGCGGTCCTTGGACTCGTTGGGAACAGCCTCGTGATCTGGTCGGTCGTTGTGTCCAAGAAACTCCGCACGGTGACCAACGCCTTCGTGGTCAACCTCAGCCTGGCCGATTTCTGGACCAGTCTTTCTTACCCGTGGCAGGCCGTCGCCATACTGAGCCATGGGTCCTGGCCGTTAGCTACAGAGGTCCCATGCTACATCGCAGCTGTGCAATTAAATACCGGTCTTGGTACAAGCCTTTACTCATTGGCGGCGATAGCGTTCAATCGGTTCATGCTGGTCACCCAGAAACCTGCAACATACAGTCGTTGGTACTCCCCTGGAAAAGTCTCCGTCATGATCGCTGCGACTTGGGTCATCCCGCCGATTGTGTTCTTCTTGCCGCCAATCTTTGGCGTTGGTGACTTTGGTTACGATCCCCAGGGCAACACGTGTTCAGACAAGGATGACCATCCCCGCGGCCAAGAGTACAACCTGGCTCAGTCTCTTGCAGCTTTCCCAGTCTCCATGCTCATCATCATCAGTTCCTACACGGCACTCTACATCCATCTCAAACGTCACTTCAGGAAGCAGAAGAGGAGACGCACTCAGCACGATAGCCCAGCCCAGAATGACAAGGCAGTCGGTAAGTCTACCGTCAATAGCATATCGACCGAGTCCTCATCGACGCCCACCAACGATTTAGCCAAAAGCCAACGACAAGAAATCAGCCGTCAGCAACTTGCAATCACCAAGAATCTCTTCATGGTCTTCTGCATCTTCTTCTTGTTGATATCCCCTTACTTCGTCTCTCTTGTCGTACCAAGCAGTGGTAAGATTGCTCTCTATTTAGGAACCATCACTATCCTGAATAGCTGTGTAAACCCCATCATCTACACGACAAAGCATCCTCAGTTCAAGTTAGTGCTTCGAAAGATCCTTAGCTGTCGCTACTCTCAGATACCTGAACCATCTGACTGGCTGAAATCTGTCTTGTCTCAGAGAAAGTAAAAAGGGCTCCTGTCTTGTCTGCAAGGACATGAGAACGGGGACGAAACACGGGTATGCCTATATGAGGTTAACCTTTTATTGCAACTCCTGCTGGCTTCACCGGTAAAAGGTAGACAAATTGGAATAAGGCTAGTTACATAATAGGTCAGTTTTATAATAAAGCAAGACTGTGTTGTAACACATGCTTTCTGTAAGGATTATTTAGACATACATTTTATCATGTTGCACCGAAATGTCTTTCGTGGAGGTCAATAATCTGTGTATCACCCATGAGGTCTTAGTCTGGTTTATGTTGTGCATATACAAAATTTCATGCTATAGAGTCAAGACACAGACATATGCTAGTGTGCACATTGTTTCATGTGGGCTTTCTGCATCAACGATTTTGGGAAAGATGATCTGCCCAACTTCTTTGTTTTAATTAATAATTAGGAAAGCGACATTCAAGGCAGTTTGACCTGACGTCTTTTCTGCTAGTTTGCTGTAGTTGACCTGTGCTCAACAAAGTCGTGAGTCTTTGGTTTCATGACTATTTGCGTGCAATCATTGTTAGGATTGGGACTCTGAGGGGCACACATGTTTGGGGGAATAGCACATGGGGATTTGTAATGCTGTCACATTCCTGATATTGTTATTATATTTGTTCGACACTAAATTAACTGAATAATTTACTCCTCACATGGTTATGTTATGTATGTGTATTGTTTATTGTCATGAAAACATACTCACAAATTGTTATTTGATCTGTGGTTAATTGCAGATTAAACCTAGTTATATTCCACAAGTCCATTTGTGTGGAAAGCGTCAATGACCTCAAGAGAGTGCAAGGGTTTATGCAAACAAGGCAGCAGAATTGCGTTACAGTTTAATGACTTCGAGTCACTCTCCAAGTTATTGGAGTTAATGGCGTTCCAGTCAATGTTGGCCACCAAAGTTGAGACGGCTGCCTGCCACCGTACTTACCTGACAACCACCCATGATGTTCACAGTCCAGGGGTTGTGTGTATTGCACCTGATGTTGAGTGTATGCAGCTGACTGACGCAACTTGCGCCCTACATGGTGAGAGCCGTAATCATCGGGTATTTCCTCGTGGTCCAGATGGGGGACAAGATTTGAATCGTGAATCATCTTGGACAATTTGATTGCGGCCAAGTTTGTATACCTGTACATGTACTGTAACCTTGGAGCTTTGGACGAGCACCTGATTCTGTGTTTCGAGGATATCCCAAGTTCATCGAACTGTGACCTGTGACCTTTGAGCTTTGGACGAACACCTGATGCCGTGTTTCGAGGATATCCCAAGTTCATCGTACTGTGACCTGTAACCTTTGAACTTTGGACGAGCACCTGATTCTGTGTTTCGAGGATATCCCAAGTTCATCGTACTGTGACCTGTAACCTTTGAGCTTTGGACGAGCACCTGATTCTGTGTTTCGAGGATATCCCAAGTTCATCGTACTGTGACCTGTGACCTTTGAGCTTTGGACGAACACCTGATGCCGTATTCGAGGATATCCCAAGTTCATCGAAATGTGATCAGTGACCTTTGAACTTTGGACGAGCATCTGACCGTGTTCAAGGATATCCCAAGTTCATCGAACTGTATACTGTGAACTGCACATGTGTTTGATTTATTGCTTGATTGTTGTGTAATTTTCTTGCTAATTACTTGTAGTGTTTGATATTTCACATAATTTACATTTTCTTCACATAATTGTGCTGATTGATTGATTGACTGGTTGGTAAAATCTTTTCTGATTTATATAATATTGGTATTGATCATAACGTACTGCTATTCCATTTTCACTGCTGTAATTTGATAGTTCACAATGTCAGTTTCAAATGCCAGTAAATCCAGCAAGGCTGGTACTTCCAGTTCAATTAGTAGTACTAGGCTCAAGGCAGCTGCTACTTTAGCAGGCCTTCAGGCAGAAGCCGCAAGCAGGATAGCATTGAAAGCCATTGAAGAGGAAGAGTTTAGACTTGCTCAGCGTAAGCGAGACTGCGAACTCCAGCTGGAAATTGCCAAGGCAGAGGCAGAGAAAAGGGCTCTGGGAGACATTGAACAATCTTCACATGAAGAGGAGCCTAAGCTAAGTTTACATGGGTCGACGGCTGCAGAGAAGGTGGATCAGTGGTTAACTGGTAACCCGCAGCCATCTGCTCCAGTGCAACCATCATCGCCCATGGCAGCGATTCCTTTGCAACGTGAGATGATTGACACGTTGCTCTTGCCGAAGTGTGAGCTGGTCAAGTTCAATGGGGACCCTCTTGAATACTGGATCTTCATCTCTAGCTTTGATGCAGCTGTTGGCAACACCAGCGTTGGGGCCAGCGCCAAGCTAAATCGCCTGTTCCAGTATTGTTGCGGAGAGGCGCTGGCAGTTATCAGATGTTGTGCTGTCATGCAGCCGGATGAGGGCTACACAAAGGCAAGAGCATTGCTACGTGAACGCTTTGGTAACGATTACAGGATTTCGGAAACTTGGGTCAGTAAACTTACAGAGGGCCCGCGCATCCTGCCAGGGGATTGCAGAGGTATCCAGAAGTTAGCTGACGATCTTCGAAGTTGCACACTCACTCTGACAGCGATGAAAAAGCTTGGAGAAGTTGACACTAAAAGGAGCCTTAGCCTCATCGTAAAGAGACTGCCACAATTCGTGCAGGGTAAATGGCGTTCGAAAGCTGTGGGCATTCTGGACAAGACTGGCCACTACCCCGATGTTGCAGAACTTGTCAAGTTTATCAGCAAAGTAGCTCGAGAGGCAAATGATCCTGTTTATGGTTTGGAGGACCGGCACAGCAATGAGAAATCACCCAAGAAGAAGGGATCCAACTATAATATCCAAGCCACCAGTGAGGTCGACCACAGGTCTCGGGTTGGGACTGACTCGCCCAAGCATCAATGTGGCAAGAACGAATTGGTGAAGAAGACAGCTTGTCCATTGTGCTCTGGGGGACATGCACTCGCGGCATGCAACAACTTTGGTAAGATGTCTCCTACTGACCGAGTCAAAGTGGCGAGTGAAAACAAGCTGTGTTTCAACTGTCTCTGCAGTAGGCATTTTTCAAGGCAGTGTAAAGCAGCTCCCTGTGGTTTTCAAGGATGTAGAGGAAAACACTCGAGGTTGTTACATGGTGTATTCCAGAGAGCGAATTCTGAAGATGGAGGTGCTCCTAAAGAATCGCCTGATGATCAGAAAGTCGGAGCAACAAGTCTCGCTTGTGGGTCCAGTCAAGAACACTCCAAGATAGCCCTACCAGTTGTCGCCGTGATGGTGAGAGGTGCGGGTAGTGGGGAGTGGCTCAAGACAAATGCTCTTCTTGATCCCGGGAGCAACAGGTCGTTCTGCTCAATGGAGTTAGTGAAAATGCTGGGTGTAAAGGGCACCCCACAGTCTTTGTCTCTGGACACGTTGAACGAGAATGCACAGGTTCAAACAGTTGTGCTTTCGTTGGACGTGTCTGGAATTGTCGGCAAGGCCCATACCAGAAAGTCTTTCTGCATACCAGAGATTCACGCTCTGAAAGAGTTTCCCACTCTGCGAGATTCCTGCGCTACCCTTGAAGATGTGAGGAAGTTCAAACACTTGAGAGACATTCCTGTTCCATGCGTGGCTAAAGATGGTGTAGCGATTCTCATTGGACAAGATGCCCCACAGGCCCTGGTTCCATTAGAGGTGAGGCGTGGTGCGGAAGGCGAACCCTACGCAGTCAGAACCTGCCTTGGATGGACGGTGAATGGACCGTTAGCCAGTGGGAGTCCAGCAGCAGCAGTGTCCAACTTTGTTCAAGGCGGCCTTGAAGCTCAGGTCGAGCGATTTTGGAAGCTTGACACTGCAGACCTATCAGATGACAGAACCATGTCACTGGATGACAAGAAGGCAGTCAAGACATGGAATGACTCAGTCAATCTTGTTGATGGCCACTACCAGTTAGACATACCATTCAAGTCGGACACTCCCGATTTGCCTGAGAACAGGATTGTTGCAGAAAGGCGCTTGCAATCCCTTGCCAAGCGGTTTACCAAGGACCCCGGTTTGCACTCAAGATACTGTGCAGAGATACAAAATCTGTTGAGCAGAGGGTTTGCTGAGAGGGTGCCTGAGCACGAGCTGGCATCATCAACGGGACGAACTTGGTACTTACCTCATCACTGTGTTCTGAACCCCAACAAGCCTGAAAAGCTTAGAGTTGTGTTCGATTGCGCTGCTAGATGCTGTGGCACTTCGTTAAATGACAGAGTATTACAGGGGCCGGACATGATGAACAAGTTAGTTGGAGTCCTTACCCGATTCCGAGAGCACAAAGTTGGATTGATGGGAGACATCGAGCAGATGTTTCATCAGGTTGGAGTCTCCAAGGAACACAGAGATGTGTTACGATTCCTATGGTGGCCTGAAGGGGATGCTACTCGACCTCCTGAAGTGTTTCGTATGACGGTCCACCTTTTCGGAGGGGTATGGAGTCCGAGTTGCGCTGCATTTGCTCTGCGGCGAACGGCAGATGACAACGAGGATATGTTCAGCAGTGATGCAGTCCAGGCGGTAAAAGAGAACTTCTACGTTGATGATCTTCTTAAATCCTTCAAGTCGGAGGATGATGCATCATTCATGGTGAAGCAGCTGACGCACCTTCTAGCTAAAGGTGGCTTCCACTTGACTAAGTGGATCTGCAGTAGCAGAAAGGTCATGGATTCCGTACCGACGGCTGAAAGAGCCAAGACAGTCACCGACTTGGACCTTGATCATGAACGTCTTCCTGTGGAAAGGGCCTTAGGAGTACGTTGGGATACCGAAGGTGATCAGATTGGAGTCAAGATAAAGTCAAGGCGAGGATGTCACACTAAGAGAGGTCTGTTAAGCATTCTGAGCTCCGTTTACGATCCTCTTGGGTGCGTGTGTCCATTTGTTCTGTTGGCCAAGCTCATGTTCCAAAATGAGTGTAGAATAGTTGGGAAGGGCTGGGATGAGCCATTGGAAGTCAGTACGCAAGATCAGTGGACCAGGTGGCTGGATGATCTTCCCAAGCTGGAGCAGTTTTCAGTTGATAGGTGTCTGATTCCTGGTGATTTTGGAATTGTTGAGGAATGTCGTTTGCATCATTTTGCTGACGCTTCACAAGATGCCTATGGCTCCGTTTCTTTTGCCCGCTTTGTCAACACTGACGGTGATATTCACTGCAGCTTTCTGATTGGCAAATCACGACTCGCTCCGTTGAAGACCATGACTATCCCTAGACTAGAGCTGTCTGCTGCAGTTATTGCAGTGAAGATGGACCAGATGCTCAGAAGAGAACTAAGGGTTCAGGTGAAAGGGTCAACGTTCTGGACAGACAGTACGGTGGTACTCCAGTACATAAGTAACCAATCAAAGCGTCTCCAAACATTTGTTGCAAACAGAGTTGCCACAATTCATGATGGATCTACCGCCAGTCAGTGGAGATATGTCAATACACAGCAGAATCCTGCTGACGATGCATCTAGGGGGCTCGATGCCCAGAGTATGCTTGACAAGATAAGATGGAGAAAGGGTCCTGATTTCTTGTGGCAGACTGAGGACAGTTGGCCTGTGACTCCACAAATTCCTAGTCTGCAGGAAAAGGACAAGGAAGTGAGAAAGATAGCACTGTCCCGAGCCATAGATGTCGTTGATCAGGATGACCCCACTCACAGGTTGATCAGCAGATACTCGTCTTTGTATCGTCTCAAAAGGGCGGTCGCATGGGTGCTCCGCTTCATAAAGTGGCTGCGACTCCATAGGCCAAGGAACCTGGATAATGGAGATAAGGGAAACCAGAGGTTGACTGTGGGTGAACTGCAAGATGCAGAGCTGGCCATAATCAGGAGCGTTCAGAGAAGGCACTACAAGAAGGAGTTCCGTGATTTGTTGGCGGGAAAGACTTCGGTGCAGAGACAGAGTCATGTGTATAGTCTAGAACCGTGCGTAGATGACCATGGTGTATTGAGGCTTGGTGGTAGACTGCGACACTCTCCAGTCGGGCCCACTTGCAAGCGTCCAGTGATACTACCTCGTGATAGTCATCTGGCCACTTTGATAGTTCGTCATGCACATGAATTGCTATCTGGCCATTCGGGCAAAGAGCATGTGCTCTCTGTGATAAGACGACAATATTGGGTTCCCAAGGTGCGACCTTTGATCAACCGCATTTTGAAGGAGTGCGTGCTCTGTAGAAAACTTCGGGGACTGCCTGGCATTCAACGTATGGCCGATCTACCTGCCTACAGAGTGACTCCAGGCAAACCACCGTTCACCCACGTTGGGGTTGATTGTTTCGGACCGTTTCATGTCAAACGAGGGAGGAGCAGGGAAAAGCGATATGGCTGTATTTTCACCTGTATGCGAATCAGAGCAGTCCACCTGGAGAAGCTACACTCTCTAGAAACTGATTCATTCCTCAATGCCTTCCTAAGGTTTGCGGCAAGGCGAGGAACCCCGGAGAAAATCTATTCCGACAACGGGACCAACTTTGTTGGAGCAGAAAGGGAGCTAAGGGCAGCTATCGAGCGTCTACAGGAAAGCAAACAGGCGGAGGGTTTCTTTCTCAGCAGAAAGGTCGAATGGCAGTTTAACCCGCCAGCGGCCTCCCACATGGGAGGCGTTTGGGAGCGCCAGATTCGTACCTGCCGGAAAGTTCTGAGTTCACTTCTGCATGATGAGGTGCTTGATGACGAGAGACTCGACACATTGTTCTGCGAAGTGGAGTCTATCGTAAATGACCGACCCATCACAGCAGTCTCCGAGGATCCGAAAGATCTCGAACCCCTTACTCCCAATCATCTGTTGAAGCTTGGACATGGGCATCCAGTTCCACTCCGTGACTTGAAAGCAACTGACCAGTATGGGAAGCGATGGAAACACGTACAGTTGCTGGTTGAAAGGTTCTGGAAGCGTTGGACTGCAGAGTATCTTCCCACGCTTCAACGCAGACAACGTTGGCTTGAGCCACAAGCCAATTTCAAGGCTGGTGACCTGGTGTTGGTCAAGGATGACAATCTGCCCAGAAGTCAGTGGCCTCTAGCGAGGATTTTGAAGACCTTCCCTGGAGCCGATGGTCTGGTTAGGAGTGTGGAAGTACGGACAGCCACTGGAAATCATGTCAGGCCAATCACCAAACTGTGTCTGTTAGAAGGTGTTAAAGACTAGAAGCATCTCCTTAACCAATTGGACCAATTAGTTATAAGGCAACACGTTTAGGTTCCAGTTTAAAGTTTAATCGTTTTATAAGGTTTAGTGTTAAGCTTGGTTACTTGTTGTGATTGTAAATGTTCGTTGATTACTCTTACATTTAAGGGGCCGGAATGTAACACATGCTTTCTGTAAGGATTATTTAGACATACATTTTATCATGTTGCACCGAAATGTCTTTCGTGGAGGTCAATAATCTGTGTATCACCCATGAGGTCTTAGTCTGGTTTATGTTGTGCATATACAAAATTTCATGCTATAGAGTCAAGACACAGACATATGCTAGTGTGCACATTGTTTCATGTGGGCTTTCTGCATCAACGATTTTGGGAAAGATGATCTGCCCAACTTCTTTGTTTTAATTAATAATTAGGAAAGCGACATTCAAGGCAGTTTGACCTGACGTCTTTTCTGCTAGTTTGCTGTAGTTGACCTGTGCTCAACAAAGTCGTGAGTCTTTGGTTTCATGACTATTTGCGTGCAATCATTGTTAGGATTGGGACTCTGAGGGGCACACATGTTTGGGGGAATAGCACATGGGGATTTGTAATGCTGTCACATTCCTGATATTGTTATTATATTTGTTCGACACTAAATTAACTGAATAATTTACTCCTCACATGGTTATGTTATGTATGTGTATTGTTTATTGTCATGAAAACATACTCACAAATTGTTATTTGATCTGTGGTTAATTGCAGATTAAACCTAGTTATATTCCACAAGTCCATTTGTGTGGAAAGCGTCAATGACCTCAAGAGAGTGCAAGGGTTTATGCAAACAAGGCAGCAGAATTGCGTTACATGTGTCTTGTTGAATACATGAATATTGTTTATTGCGTGTAGCCCTTCATTGACGTATTTTACAAACACGGTATACTCAGTGTTACGGATGCCTATGAGGGCCACAACCAATTCAAAAAGATACAAACTGGTATGTTGTCCGGCAAATAATTGTTACCTTACCATCTGGCTTCGGCCAATAAGATGATTTGTAAATACCAGTAGGATAATTAATAAAAAAAACATGGCCAATATATGATTTGTAAATAACTCAGCCAATGTAACGATTTGTAAATAACTTAGTTAAACTGATGATTTGCTAATAAATGGCCAAAAGAATGATTTGCAAATAACTTGGCCAATAGGATGATTTGTCAATAAGTTGGCCCTAGGTTAATTTGTAAAATTACTTGGCCAATTTGTAAACAACTTGTCCAGTGTGATAATTTGTATTAAGTTGGCAAATTGGGGGATTTGTAAAATAACCAAAATAAAATGTGCTCTATTCTGAAAGGAAAAGAAAAAAAATAACTTATGGCTTACTTAGAGTAAGATTGGAGTGGAAAACAGGTTTATGAAGGTCTTTTGTAAAAATAAATCAAATCAAAAGCAAACTTATAACTGTGTATATTGTTGCAACATGCACGTATTTGTGTTTGTATTCCTTTGTGGGCTGGTGGTTGTATTAAATGTTCGATAATGATGAAAATGTACGAGAATAGAATGCTTGTCAACTGTTATTACATTTCACAAAAACACCCCTCTCTGATATATCTGGACGCATTTCCATTAGAAATTGCTAAATGCACCTTTGTTTTTTTCCAGGCTCGAACAGAGACATATTATGAAAAGTCACCGGCAAAATTGGACGATAACTCAATTTATGAACACTTGAAAGTTGCTATTATGTTGTTGATTTATGATAAATGTTGGTTTGAATTCAATTTATATCCAATTATAATACATGTAATTATCACATTAACTTTGTGTATTAATGAACAACGTTGAATAAATGTCTAGCAAATTGAAAAAAAAATGAAAAAAAAATATTAATTGCAAATAAAATGTGCACAGAGTGAGTCTTTTTCTTTCTCTCTCTGTATAAGAGATTCTAGGGTTTTCCCTTGTGGAATTGAATCATTTCTCTGTACGTAAGTGGTTGACATTTAGTTTGAACACTGACTAGTCTAGTCACATACTCCCGTGTTTGCATTTACCATAGTGTTATCTGCATGATCGATTGAACGGAAGTTGAGGTCAACATTTCACATTTTGTGATAGTCATCGATTCGCCATATTTCCAATGTGTTGTATAAATATTTAATGCTTGCTTTTCTTTCGAATTACCCAATATTGCCCATGATAAGATGGGCCCATACAGTCAGGACACAAAATAAATGCCAACAAAAATAATAATAATAGGACTTAACACACATTGTAGATCGTAGCCTATATATAAATGGTACCCGGATGTGCTGTATTCTCGTAAAATTTCGTAGGTTTTTGAAGTAAATTTTCACGCTCTATTAGTTTACACTCCAAGGAAACTAAACCAAGTTAAATGGTCTTCAAATGGACCTGGCCTATGGAAAAATTCTTCATCGGCGAGTGCATGTATTTCGATTAAAAGAGGCACAAATTTCGTATAGTTAGGGTGGGTTGGTACTGCTATAATTTAATTTATACATTTGTTTTTCAGACAACGTCAGATTTTTAACTGAGTTATCTACCACATGTCATATTGTTTGTGATGTTTGGTTTTAATCAGTTTTAATTATGTAGCATCCACTTTGATGGAATTAAAGGTTCAATTGTGACTTTTGTTCATTGATTTTCATTACAATCAAACTTATGCCATGACAAAGATAATCAGTAGGTAAAAACAGGCGAAGAGATATCGAATCAGCCTTCGGTGGTCGAAAACAAATTTCAGATAGGTCTCAAAAACACTTTTTTCCGTAATTTGTTTTCTCAAATGAAAAACTAGCCTGATAGTGTTCAACAAATTATTTCATGGACCGTTTTAAATCGTCTTTGCAGTGTCTTGTAACCTCATTTTGTGACCAATGTTTATCGATTAGGATAGGATGGACTAGTACGAAGAGTCAGATTGTTGAGCGGCTGTAACTGCTGGGGTAGCATGCCCTGGACCGGAGGCAGACCGGTTGTTGCAGCTACCGGCGAAGGTAAGTATATCGGTAGCTGGTTCATTCCGTCGGCTCCCGCCGTGGCCGTCAAGTACGAGGGAGGCAGCGGGTTGGGATCGGGAAAACCCACCGGTGGAAGGGCCGGGATGACGGCGGCGGCATACGGCGGCTGACCCGGTGGTAGCTGTGGCAGGGGACCGGTTGGCTGGACAGGGTACGGGTGGGGGGATACCGGTCTACCGACACCGGCCAGTGGCTGGACAGGGTACGGGTGGGGGGTTACCGGCGGACCCACCCCGGCCGACGGAGTCTGATCATTGGCCGGTACCACTACCAACTGCCGTCGCTTCTCCAGTTGCATACGCCGCTTGATGATGAAAAGACCCAGGGTGATTGCAACGAATAGGACTCCGATGATAGCGAAGATTTTCTCACCGCTGAGCGTCCAATCGTACTCTATAGCATTGTAACAGTAATGTTTTAGTTCAATTTTGTTTTAGTTCATCTTTTCAATCGCATTCGAACAACGGACACCCTACAGAAACAGAAGATGAAGCTGTGTGGTTTACTCACGGAAGCCTATGTGTGGGTTGGGGGTTTTTTCTGGGGGGGGGGGCTGGGGTAGGGAGGGGGTTCGTTTCTGTCGTCAAATTCAGGTGTTTTTTTTAGCTCAAGAGACCCTGACTTGACAGACTCCAGAACACTACTCCATTTTCTAGACATCAAACTTTGTCACAAATGGCAAATGGGTTCTCCACAAAAGGCTTATGTCGCACGCAAGATTTTCGTGAATCTTGGGTTTCATGGGTTGCGTGGTCGTGCCCTCACTATACTCTGTAGGGTAGGGGTATGGGAAACAAAAAGATAGCAGCAAGATAGTTTCCGTAGGAATGAGGTTGCACAAGTCCCGTAGAGTCGACGCAAAGGAATGCATCACATCGTGAGTAATGGACTGTTTCCCGCCCCTCCCCTGAAAAAATTTTGAGCTCCCTAAAGCCATTGATTCGATCATTATTGTTTATTTTTAATCACCATTCAGCTTATGCGTGCATGGACGATTGTTGAACACATAGTTATTAAAAAAAACTGACTCTTTTAACACAAAATAGTACGCAAAGTCGCCAGTGTCTCCACGAAGGCAACTTTCAAGCATTTCAACTGCATAGGTTTTCAATACTGAACAGTAATTTCCCTCTCTTTATTGATATTTGCCAGAGACACTTTCGCCGATTCAGCAAAAATCGAAGCTCATCGCCTCCGGCATATTCCACATTGATGGCCTATCAGCCTCGACTCCAGGGGCGCGTGCTCGTTCCTTACACTAACCCCTGGCTGTGATGATGACGTAAATGACGCTGAATGGCTATTCACAGTGTACTGCGCGCAAGGGCGGATCCAGAACACAATTTTTTGGGGGGGCCAAAAAAAATTTTGGTCCCCTAAAAAAGTGGGTCAAAAAAATTACGGCGTGGGGTTCGGGGCCCGCTTAAGGGCCCCGAAAAATTGTTGGATTCTAGATGCTCTGTGGTGCGATCTGAGGCAATTTCTGACCACTTTAACCAATTTTTTTTGAGGAAAAGATGGTGGTGTACTCATTGCCTGCCTTTATTGCGATGTCACATAAATAAAAAAAAAAATTGGTTTCGTTTTTTTTTTGGGGGGGGGGGGCCATGGCCCCCTTTGCCCCCCCCCCCCCCCCCCCCCCCCCTGGATCCGCCCTTGACTGCGCGCGCATTTCGAAGATTGCACGCCGGGCGCGCCCATAATGCGCTCGCGTGCTTTGCACGTAACATCACGTACGAAAAAAAAATTTATGATTCAAGAGTCGCGATGCATGTACGATATGGTTTATGTCAGCCGCGTTTTTCGCTAAAAAAACCCCTGTATCTGTGGTTGTAAAGGCACGAAAGGGGTACGTACATTTAATACAAATCTTTGCTAATTAACACAACGTCCAAACGTTGTGCTTGAAAGGATTGATTCTTCAAAATCACAACTTTTAACATTTTAAAGATGGCGTCGGCACGTAAAACAGATAAACTGCAGCCCTAATTATAATGTGCCATATTTTGGCACATTTAAATTACACAGTTCCAGGGGTTACAACTCCAGGGGGTTACAATTCCAGGGGAAACAACATGGCGCTGCAAGATCGTACCCACGGGGCACGAGGTTGATGGCCTATTGTCTTTTTGCAATAGGCTGGTTGCGCGTAAACATTACCGTTGTGTTTTTGAATTGAAGAGGCGGGATTCAGACCTATGCATGTCCTGTATATAATTTGCATATATTAGGAGGAATGCCACCTAATGAATGTAGGATTCACTGCTAGCGACCTGTCTCCAAATTTAAAGTCCGAAAGACAAAGGGGACCGGGGAACCAGACTATGTGAGTGTACGATCATGATATTTTATAAGCAACACATGATGACATTAACTCTTTGATTTCCACAACTACTGCTCACCGTTACCATGATAGCATTCAATGACGACATCTTGCCAGTGGCCACAGTTGTGTGTATGAAGCCCGTTGTGACGACATCCCATAATGGTTATCTCATCTCCTTGACATCTGCGGAAAAAACATTAATGATATTCAATTGTAGTGTGATCGGGGAAGAGGTCATAGAAGTCAAGCGACAATTAAAATGGCGTGTATGACCATACTTACCACCCGACCTTTATTTCTGATGCTGCTGACCGGGTTTGATGACCCCATTTTACGGCGCTGCTAAGCACACAGATTTGCTATGCACAAAAAAGTCTGGCTTATAAAAGCAGGTTATCAGCCAAAACTCCATGTGATTTTCATGCTAAGCAAACAACAGCTGAATACTAATCACGAGCAAAATACATCACGTAGAGTTTTGGATAGTAACCTGCTTTTATGAGCCAGACTTTTTTGTGCAAAGCAAATTTTTGTGCTTAGCAGCGCCGTGAAATTGGCCCCCGATATGATGCATAAGGCCCCGGTATGATGCCCCGGTGTTTCTGGCCTCCTGTATAAACTCCCACGTGGAGTATTTAGGAGAAGAACCAACCAAGAACCAAGAACCAAGATAAGGTCAAGTTAATTCACATAATTATTGACACGAGAAAAGAGAAGTTCTGGATGCCACGTCGACTGCGTCTGCGCTTGTTTGTGATCCCAGCCAATCACAAGTCAAGAGAGACAACCTGATATCCCAAATTATCCACCAAATACTCTTTGGCTATAAGACCATTTTCTTGCTTTTCCTTGAGGTCAGGATTTCAGTTAAATCTTGGAACCTAGGTTGCAGATACCATTTTTGTCATTCCTCAATACCGAAAATAGACTCATTTGTCTGCATTACAGCTCCATTGCTAATGTGACTGGATTCCACGAAATAATTACTCGTTGTTTACGTCTCAATAACTCGCGAGCTGAAGATTGCATTATTTAGCTAAAGGGGTGTTTCGAAAATCATGAAGTGAAACTGTTGAACAAAATCGTTGGAAAGTTTAAATTTTTGACTTGTTTGACTTTTGGACAGAAAAGTTTAGATTTTTTTGACCGAAAAAGGGTTGATGAATTTGATTTAATATGTGCTTGGTTGGTATTAAACACTCTGTTAACGACTGGTTGGAGTTTGGCCACGCGGACTCCAACCGGTCTTAAACATAGTGTTTAATATACCTCTCATGCACACATTTACACCTTTAATATTGTACCTGACATTGTCAAGTAGTATAGATCCACTTCCAGCTGGTAGTCCGTCAATATAGTGATGAGCATTTAGCACTTTGCGGTAACCAAGCTGTCTGCAGACTACGTCTGCATCAACGTCATCCCATTCGTCGTTACATACCGTGGACCACTCGCCGTTGAAAAAAATCTCCAATCGCCCATCTGCCGCAGTTAAACCTCCCGCTAATCGGACGTCTGAAGATGAGAAGAGATACACTGATCAACATCCCGGCGAGTTTACCATGGCCAAATGACCAGACAGCGGTGGTCAACGGTTAGTAGTGTGGTTACCTGACCTGATTTACACTGACCGTAGTGGATTCCCTGACCTTAGTGGGGTTCACTGACCTAAGTGTGGTTCCATGACCTTAGTGAGGTTAACTGACCTAAGTGATGTTCACTGACCTTGCCCTGACCCTAGTGTTGCTCCCTGACCTTAGCGTGGTTCCCTGACCTTATAGTGAGGTTTACTGACCTTAATATAATGAGGTTTACCTACCTTAGCGTGGTTCCCAGACCTCATGTTGCTCCTTGACTTTAGTATGATTCCCTGACCCTAGTGTGGTTCCCTGACCTTAGTGTGGCGCTGACGTTAATGTGGTCTCTCACTTTAGTGTGGTTCACCGACCTTAGTATGACTCCCTGACTTTAGTGTGGTTCCCTGACCTTATGCTGAGGTTAACTGACCTTTTATAGTGAGGTTTACTGACATTAGTGTGGTTCCCTGACCTCATGTTGCTCCCTGACGTTCGTGTGGTTCCCTTCCCAAAGTGTAGTTCCCTGACCTTAGTATGGCGCTGACCCTAATGTGGTTCTCTGAGTGACTCACTGACGTTAGTGTGGCTCCCTGACCTCAGTGTGGTTTCCATGACCTTAGTGTGGCTCCCTGACCTCAGTGTTGTTCCCTGACATTAGTGTGGCTCATTGACCTTATGTGGTTCCCTGACCTTAGTGTGGTTCTCTGACCTTAGTGTGGTTCCCTGACCTTATTACGGTTCCCTGACCTTACTGCTGTCTCGTAACTTGTTGATTCAGCGACAACTCTTTTATTGAATCATTGATCAGAGATTAGCCCATTGCTTCCAGCAGTAATCTTTTGAGTACTCTTCCAGCAGCGGTTCGCACAACATGTGACTCGGTCAACGTCCGATACAAACCGAGCGTGAATCAAGCGCAACATAAAAAAGAATAACTGCTGCTTCTAAAAAGCACCCCAATTTATTCGTGCAAGGACATCATTATATTCTTTGGGGAAAAAAAACGGTCGGAATAGGCCTACTAAATAAATTTACATTTGACGATACTGTTTATTTTTTATTTACCTGCATTCCGCATGTCATGTTCGTTTCCAACGAACGGCCCAGTGCATGCAACGCCTACGTCTAGCCCACCGTGGCCACAAGATGACACCACTTCCATATTCCCGGTAGTGCAGTCTTGCAGGGACACCTCTTCCTCCGAGCAGGACACGTTGTTTGCCCAATAATACCTAAGGAGTTGAATCAAAGAGCAAGTCCAGGTGACGAGAAACAAGAGACAAGAAAGTTTTACTCTAAAGTAATAGCATTTACCCATTGTCAAATGGATAACTTCACGGGATGTGACTGAATAGTAATGCTCTTTACCGGCGTCCTTGATTCTTTGTAAGTAAAATTGGAATATACACATGGCGCGCGTGAATTCCAACTCCGATTTTTAAAATTTGGGGTTCGTTAAAACGTTTCCGATTCTGATTTTGTTCTTTGATTCAAAATGTTTAAACGTGTTAAGGTCAGATCCTTACCCGGCCGGGTTCACACCGAAGTAGCCGTCTTGAACTTCGCGTATGGGCGTGCCGAAGCCAAGTTGCCGGCATGCCACAGCCGCGTCCTGCAGCGTCCAGTCTAGGTCGCATATCCCGACGGCTATGCCGCGGATGTCTAGTTCCAGACGACCCTCGTAGGGCGACAGGCCGTCGACTAAATGGAAACTGTAGCCCATCGGAACTAAAAGGAGAACAGACAGACAGTAATGGAGGGCGTATGGAACGCCATATCAGACATATATCTGTCGATGGTCGATTCGTGTTTGCCACGTCGGAAACCGTATCGCTGCGACGTCGAAAAGCGTAACGCTGCTACGTTGAAAATCGCGCGTCTCTCAAGTTGAAGCCCATTATTAATGTGTGTGCGATGTCGAAAACTGTAACGCTGCCACGTTGAAAAACTGTTACGCCACGACGATGAAATCCATACGCTGCGACGTTGAAAGACTATGCTGCGACGATGAAAATCATAATGTTGCGACGTTGAAAACTGTGCTCTACCTTACATGTACATACTCTTTGTAAAAATAACAACTGGTCCTCAAAGATCGAGCCGTTGGAGCGCTTATACCGTCATTCCAATAACACACGCATGTTTCTTTCCGAAAATGTTGCTTCAAACAATGCTCCCATTGTTGTGAGACCTTATTTCCCAACGTGAATTGTCGCTCATGTGTATGTGTAAAAAAAATGCAGCGCCAATTTGATTCTGACAACTTTACCTCATAATTCGATGGTTGTACTGCTGGAAATACGTTTAGGCAAGGTACAGAATGCCTGCCACGTCGGTTATTAACCTATGGGTTTATTTAACCGTAAACCATAAGACATTATGTGAATTTCCTCTTTGTAAGACCTTCAAAATACGGTCAGCAAAACATAAAACCAGATATTTTGCGATGTTTGGACAATAGTTCACCTTTAATTAATTACCTTAGTAATAACGACAGTTCATTTTTACCTGTAAAGGCCATGACGTACACATCATCGCCAGTGCAAGCAATCTTCACATCTTCGTAATGTTGACAGTTGTGCGACCCAAGTTGCAAGTGTCCGCACTCGATCAGTCTGGCCTCCCAGCCGTCACACATCACATCGTCCAGGTGGATGGGGCCCGTGCCTGCTGGTATGCTGTCAACCGCTGTCGGATGTGTAGGAGAACCCAGACCCATCTCACGGCAGGCCACAGTGGCGTCTGCCTCGTCCCAGTGATCGTCACAGACCGAGCCCCACTGACCATTGTGGTAAAGCTCTAAGCGTCCCTCGTTCGAGTTGATCCCATCGGCAAGACGCAGGGCTATTGTGTCGGTCCGACGCTGATCTGTTGATGTACAAGACCAGCTTAAAGGGAATATACATCATTGGCTTTTGCTGTAATTTTCAGAAATGGATGGAATTGGGGGGTTGGAAATATATAGCAGATATAGTTACACTGACTTTTTGGGTTCGAAAATGCTATAAAAACCAAGAAAAACAATCATTTTCCTGTAGTCTGGTTCCCTGACTCCATTTAAGAAGAAACAGAGCAGTGTACATATATTGGGGAATTGTAAGGTCACGGAACCAGTCTAGCTGGCTTGTACCCGTTCATAGGTGTGTAATCGATTGCAAACAAGTGCGATGGTCAACTGGGGCCAGTATTTGAAAAAAAGCCAGTTTTTTTCCAACGCTGATCGGCCGATCAGCGTTGGAAATTGATACAAAAATACCACTTTTCTTGAAAATGACAGTATACCAGGTGCCATGATTTTACAGGATGCTTTACACTGTCATTCACTAACAGTCCAGCAAGGTATTTCAAAATGATTTGGTAGTTTTATTTTTTGACGTTTGCAAAATGTTGTATTTTCCCTTTAAACGATGAATGGGAAAAGAACGGAATATTGTACCTTAGTTTTGTACCACACAAAAACGATAAACGTTTTATGAACATATCACAAATACAGAAGACGATTGGAGAAAATGATCAGGTATCCCAAATTCAATCTTACATGCCCTAATTTCAGATGAGGAACCTACCACAAGCCAGCGACACATCCTCGTCATGGCCGCAGTACCGGGTACCCCAATCGCCGCCCAGATGGACGCACTGGGCCAAGCGCGTCTCGCCGCCTTCGCACCCCACGTAGTACAGGATCGAGCCCGTCGCCCCCTCGATGGCCGGGAGTAAGTAGTTGGACACGGCGGCGTAACCCAGCTCACGGCAGGCCACCTGGGCGTCGGCCAGGTCCCAATTGTCGTCGCACACCGTGCCCCAGGCGTTGTTGAGGTAGACTTCCAGGCGTCCCGAATTGGAGCTGCCGCCGGAGAGTCGGATTGGCATAGGGTCAGCTGAAACCCCCGGAAAGGCAGCGTACAGCGTTAAGTTCAAAGGAATATACACACATAAAAGACGTTTTTGTGTGATGTAAATCGAGGACATCCCATTTCTTCTTCTTTTGTTTGTATTTAAACTTGATTGCTTCACCTCTTGTTGGTTATCAACACATTCCCCAATCGGGGACTATCCTCAATTGACTACTTGTCCTCAATCAGAATCGGAGCCCTCAACAAATTCTTTTTTTTCCTGGCATAAATTTAGCTTCGTTTAGAACTTACAGCAGGACTGTTCTTATCAGAACAAAAAAACTACTTAGCAAAGTTGATAATAAGCAGGACAAGTTCTTTTCAGAACTAATATCTTCTAAGCAGTAGTTATTACCACATGGTGTTACCGCAAACCGAAACGAGACCTTTCTTTTGTTGGTAAACATTGGCGCCATTTTATATGGGCTGCTGCAAGCGCATAAATTGAAGCCGTGATTGGCAACATTTTTTCCACAAGAAGTCCCCATAACGCCCTCGATACAAAGTAAAAAGGCATTTCTAGGAATTATGTTGTAGCTTTGTTGACAATGTTATATTCCAAACAATCAAATAATATTTTGGTTATCTGTAATAACTCTTCTTCCTTTTTGCGGCGTTGGACCTTCCATAGTTTAGCAAACCCGTGGTTGGCAAACATGCAGTTTGCCAACCAAGCGTAGAAAGGTCTATATTTCTTTTTTTACGAAACACAAAACCCATCTTTTATTCTTATGTTTGGTGTCTGCATCACCCTGAAAAAAGAACCGTTTGTTTTTGGTTACTTTTGGGCATAAACAGATTTACCATGCAATAAAAAATAAAAATAATTCCGCGATCAACCTCGGACAAATATTGGAACAGTACAACTTGAAACAACAGTTAGGAAAGGTCGATGCAATTAATGCATGCAGGGACTTTTCAACAGTGACGATCAGATCTGCAGACATTTCAGCAAAAACAATAATATAATAATGTCACCGATAGTCAGCGTGCTTTCTGCATGCCCAGGGCCAGTCATATTCCTTGGTCCCAGGTTCTACTTTAAACTCAAACGTAATTTGTATATGACTTGAAGCAATGCATGCGGATGAGATAAAGTAGAAGATTACGGGTATGTGGAACGTATTCTCTTGGAAAAAGTGAGGTTCTGAAAAGAACCGGCTGGTTGAGTGTGGCACTCGACTTTTCAGACAGTGTTTCTAGATTAAACCGACTTTTAACCACACTTCTTCCGAGCAGAGATTGCTTGGTGTTACCTGCAATCTTTCTACTTTAAATGTTATTTGTTTGTTTGTGTTTGAATGAGGAAACATGTAAAATGTAACATTTTAGCAGAACAAAATCAGAGTGCATCTAATTTATAAAACATAACCAAAATGGCACGTACTGCATTGGGTATACGTAGCCTGATCCTGCAGCTACCGTGAGCTGAACAACCCGTGGCCAAACCTCTTCTTGTGCATGCACTCTTACCGTATGTGTTTTGGTACCCGCACCGAATGGCAACATCCTCATAGTGGCCGCAGTTGTGAACACCCCATCCATTGTGGGGACATTCGGCCAATCTTCCCTCATCACCCACACAGCGTACTTCATCCAGGAGGATGGGAACTGAGGCCCCGGGGAGTGAATACAGACTCGTGCCGACAGCGGTGAAGCCCAACTGCCTGCAGGCCACCAGGGCGTCGGTGTAGCCCCAGGAATCGTCGCAGACGGTCCCCCATTGGTTGTGGTAGATCTCCAGGCGGCCCTCAGAGGGGTCACTTCCCCCAACCAGTCTTAAATAACTCCCAGCTGATTAAAACACGGGAAAAAAATACACGGTAGCATTTATGTGGTACACAAGAGCTACAAGTGGGCACCTCTTTCACCAAGAAATTATTCGCTGCGCCAACCGCCAAAAATTTGAAATCAACGGGACGGGGAGAATGTACATATTCCCAATGTTTGACCAAGGCATTCTCAAAATCTCTGAAAACATAGTTTAACATGTTAAAAAATAAAAATTTAAAAGCAATCCATAACAACTTCCTCTCGTCGATATTGATAAGCATATTCGCCTCATACTTATAGAAGCCGGTTTCACGATAAAACAAAACTCCTAAATCACCATGGGTTTTTGCAAATCAATCTATAACACACACAAAAAGCTCTATCACAGATATGTCACATCCTATAATGACTCTAATCAAAACAAAAATATTAACTATAATGTCCTCCGTAACTCTAAACGCAATCCAAAATACGCAATCCAAAATCAGAATAATCCAAAATCAGAATAATTGGCATTGGTATTTCTTGTTGATGTGGAGTTTCATCATTGCTACTCTGTCTGAGTATCATTTAAACTTCAAGATATTGCTTTGGAGGTCTTTGTTAATGGGAAACCAAGTCCATAGACTTATTCTGATGGCTGCTGAGGTGTATAAAATGTGACAGTTTAGTTGATTTCGTTTTCTGGCCGTCTAGTTTTCTGCAAGGCCTATTAGTCAGTTGATTTCCTTTTCTTCCTCCGATCCAGTACAGCATCTGGACTTTCATCAGTGCGCAGTGGTCTTACATTGCAAATGTGCAATTCAGTGTGCGTGCTGCGGTTGCGTCCAGATCCCTAGCCAGAGCTGGGTCTTCCTTGCGAGTTTGGATCCAGCCCATCATGAGCTGACAAGGTGCCAGAGGAATCTCTATCATCCCTTTCACTAACTCTGTGTGCAGAGTTGGTCCCATTGGGGTCTTGGGCATTGCAAACTCTAGTTTGTCTCGTCTCCATCATTGGTAAAGGTAGTCCTACTCACACCGCGCTGGCAGGGCGTAAGTGTTGGTGGAGGCTATGTAACCATAGCCTGGTCCTGGTTGGCTCTTGGTATCTTATTGGCCTTTGTAGTCATCTTGGTTTAATTGTCACAGGGCTCCAGTTGCTCCCTCTCCAACCCAGAGTATTAATCACACTTGTCTCCAACCAAGGGTGGCAAGTGCTGGATGGGTCTGGTGCAGGTATCTAAATCTGGCTCACAATGATGTTAAATGCAGGCATGATGCCTGACTTAAAAATGGTCCAGAGGGGACCGAAGGGGAAATTGACACGGATAAAATGTAGAAAAAAGACAGAACACCATGCCACAACCCAAACCGAAGTATACGGATTTCCTGTCACCAGGGGATCGGTGTTAGGTACCCCCTGAAGACATCGGTGATGTCTTGACCTTTCCAGGGGTCAGGCGACTCTAACCCTACCTAAGCTAACAGGACGAGTTCAAAACTGATCTGACAAGGTGTTCCTAAAACGGGGAGGGGAGGAGGAGGTAAAGAATAGATAGGAAGAACAACAAAGGAAAGGAAAGGGAAGACAGCTGAGGAGGTAGAGGACGCTTAAGCTCTCACTCTGGTGTAGACCAGCCTCTCACCAACAGATATACACAGACAAAGATTTTCTGTGGTTATTAAAGGGACATTAGGCCTACCTACGTCCTGGGATGCGCCAAATTGGGCTGCAAAAACCCGCGTTTTAAACGAAATGATGTTATTTGGAAATTACGAAGACTGGGCGTTTTTGTGTTAATCTAACGAGAGCCATGCGAGAATGAATTTGGGGGTCCAAATTTTGACTTTGAAAAATCGAGCTGTGTTGGGTGCTAGTCGTGAATCCTGCCGCACAAGGCTCACCAGTGCATCGCATTCTGCGGACGTGCGAGCAACAACATGTGCGTATTGTTTCCGTGTTTATTATTATGTTATCACATACACAACGTATACCGTTCAATGAATGGACACGGCTGGAAATACGAATGCGTTTGCCACAAAATGTCCGCCGCGCCAGAAGTAAACAACCGGGTTTTTTTCAGGAACGGTAAGACATTAGGTTGGTTTCATTTCGATCAGACCTTTGAAATAGGATCGGTAAACAATCCAAAACATAAAATATTCGGGATTTCATGTTTTGTTAATGACCTTTCAATTTAAAGCCTTAATATTAGATCCATGACATTCATTGGCCCGTGCCTACACTACAGCTCCTATTTTAAACAAGTTCTAAATGCACCGATTCAATGTATATCACTTACGTGAGGCCACCGTTGTAAATACTTGCAGTATGATCACCACTGCCAACACTTCTAGGCTGGGTCCAGTCGAGTCCATCCGATGAGGAAAATTTAAACTGAACTCTTCTTACAGTCTAAATTATGCTTGCAATAGGTTGTTGAATGACAGCCGTACCAGTGTGTGCATGGTGCATCACCATGTATGTATTCGCGCGCTTTGATTGTGAAATAGAATTAAGGATGCAACGCGTCACGCGTCCTGAATCTTCGTTTCAAATGACGTCATTTCCTAGTCCACGTGCATCAGCATTTTGAGCGTCAACTTGCATAACGCGCATCTGCTGCGTCGTATTTCGAACACATTTCGAGCAACAAGCGCGCGTGTTTGGAACACTTTCAACAATGCGCAATGTGTGCTTGTTTGCATAAAATATGCACTTGCAGATCTCCTACAGAGATTGCCGTTATTATGACCTATTGCCGTTTGCAAGTTAGTCGCGCCCTTTATAGACAACCCTATGGAGTTTTTGTACACTACGTTTCGTTTGTCTCAGATTTTGCTGTAACCCCCCCCCCCCAAAAAAATGATACGAGCCCCCTACCCCCACCTATTGATTTTCGGAGGCCTAAGTGTCCGGAGAAAAAAACATCTACATTTCAGCAAGCCTCCCTGCAAACATTTCTGGATCCACCCGTGCTAGCCCCCCTAAAATATAGGCTCCAGAACCGCGCCTGCTTTAAACCAAGTAGCCTAAGCCTTTAAAGGGAATATACAACATTTGCTTTTGCTGTAATTTTCAGAAATGGATGGATTTGGGGGTTATTAATTTAAAGGAAATATTGTTACGCTGACTTGTTTGAAGTTTTGTATTCGTAGATGCTGGGAAAACCAAGAAAAACAATCGAGTTCATGTGGTCTGGTTCCCTGTCCCCATTTAAGATGAAACGGAGCAAATTATAGGCGTCGGGGAATTGTAAGGTCAGGGAACCAGTCTAGCTGGCTTGTACCTGTTCATAGGTGTGTAATCGATTGCAAACAAAATGTGGACTGACTAAATATGGTAATTTGGGGGCAGTATTTGAAGAAAACAACCCAGTTTTTTTTCCAACGCTGGTCGGCCGACCAGCGTTGGAAATTGATACAAAAATACAACTTTTCTTGAAATTTGCAGCACACCAGTTACCATGATTTACAGGATGCTTTAGACTGTCATTCACTTACAGTCCAGTAAGGTATTTCACAATCATTTGGTAGTTTTGTTTTTTGAAGTTTGCAAATGTTGTATATTCCCTTTAAACAATAATTTGGTCAATTACTTTTTGGGTAGCTGCATATGATCTGCACTTCCTTCAAACAAATTAGGCGAACAGAATGAAAAGCCATTATTGAGAAGTCTATGGAATATCCGCTTGCAGACAAGTGTCTATGATAAGGAGCTCGATAAAGACAGCCCACTTGCATACGAGGCAGTTTTTGAGATACCTGAGATAAACTTCCCCAACTGATATTAGGTGGGATGTCAAGACCGAGAAAGTGCAGGTCATAATGTTGGTTCAATTCAATTCAATTCGGGCGATTCACAATGCACTGCGCCACCAAGAATTTGCCACGGAGAATTCATTTTTTTTCCCAGTGCATTATGGGAGATGGTCGGCAAATTCGCAGCGCGGGCTATTTGAAATTGCGAGTCTTTCCGGTCACTTAGTTTCGTAAGCGTATGATTCGAGGATCTGTTTACCCTGTCCTTTTCTTCTTATCAATATGGTGTTTTTTGTAAGGCGGCAGACGCTATATGCTCCAACCTATAACAAATTAGATCAAGTTCTCTTCCTGCCTCGACTCCAGGGGCGCGTGCTCGTTCCTTACACAAACCCCTGGCTGTGATGATGACGTAAATGACGCTGAATGGCTACTCACAGCGTATTGCGCGCGCATTTCGAAGATTGCACGCCGGGCGCCCCCATAATGCGCTCGCGTGCTTTGCACGTAACGTCACGTACGAAAAAAAATTAGGATTCAAAAGTCGCGATGCCTGTACGATATGGATTATGTCAGCCGTGTTTTTTTGTAAAAAAATCCCTGTATCTGTGGTTGTAAAGGCACGAAAGGGGTACGTACATTTAATACAATTTTTTTGCTAATTAATACAACGTCCAAACGTTGTGTTTGAAAGGATTGATTCTTCAAAATCACAACTTTTAACATTTTAAGATGGCGTCGGCACGTAAAACGGATAAACTGCAGCCCTAATTATAATGTACCGTATTTTGGCACTTTTATATCTTTATATTATATATTATTTTATATTTTGGCACTTTTTATCGCGCAAGGCATAATGGGAAACAACATGGCGCTGCAAGATCGTACCCACGGGGCACGAGGTTGGTTCTCTTCTGACTCTCATGCAAATGGACCATGTTTTGTCTGGAAAATGGACTCTCCATGGCAAACTCTTGGTGGCGCACTGCATTGTGAATCGCCCGAATTCAATTCAAACACACATTTATTTCCATACCAAATGAGAAATATAGGGAGATAGAATACACGAATATAAGCAAATGAATAAGGTGTAAGAGGCGAAAATATATATAGGTATGGAGGCATCTTCAAGAAGCCTAGGCTTGTGGGAGTGTCTTGGATGGACTCACGCAGAAAGAAACAAGAGCAAGTACACACAGACATTTGGAACGAGTCACAATTATTTTTGAATTGCGCCCGAAATCAGCATCCGGAATACGTTCGCATTCAGCCGATAGCAGCTACGATCATGCTATACAAAAGTCACGGAGTAGTAATGTTTTGATAGATAATTGCCTCATCTTGTAGTCTTCATCACAAATTAATGTGGCAAAAATCCACCATTGAATCCAAATAATTATGCATGTGCGGTAAAACCTTTGGTTTCGTTTTCAGGAGAGCCAAATGAAATGAGCCATGACTAGCCTTTCATTTGGCTGCGCTGATGATTGCGAGTGAATTATGAACAGCGCCATCACAATGATCAACGGTCACCTGATTGAGCTTATAAAATCAGATAACACACTTCAGTAGACGCATCATAACAAATAGCAGCCTTTGTCCCCAGGGTGTCGAGCAGTAACAAGTAGTGCTTGTGACAGAGTGAACATGGCGGGACCTCTGAAGATGGAAAATTGGGAGAAACTTCTGTACGTTCATAGAGGTGTGACATTTCATTCAAGTTTTATTCCTCCTGATTGCTGGGATGAAATTGAAACTTTTCAAGCCCGCCCATCCGATATATGCGTGGCAGCAGCTATGAGGAGTGGTACGTATAAGCAAAAGCATATTGGTTTAACAACCTTGCATGTACAGGAACATGGGCGTCAATAATTGACCTATCGCGATGAGCTCTGACCATTGATCTCCATCAGCCTCGACTCCAGGGGCGCGTGCTCGTTCCTTACACTAACCCCTGGCTGTGATGATGACGTAAATGACGATGAATGGCTATTCAGAGCGTACTGCGCGGGCATTTCGAAGATTGCACGCCGGGCGCGCCCATTATGCGCTCGCGCTCGCGCTCGCGTGCTTAGCTTTGCAAAAAAAATTATGATTCAAAAGTCGCGATGCCTATACGATATGGATTATGTCAGCCGCGTTTTTCGCTAAAAAAAACCCTGTATCTGTGGTTGTAAAGGCACGAAAGGGGTACGTACATTTAATACAAATCTTTGCTAATTAACACAACGTCCAAACGTTGTGTTTGAAAGGATTGATTCCTCAAAATCACAACTTTTAACATTTTAAAGATGGCATCGGCACGTAAAACGGATAAACTGCAGCCCTAATTATAATATACCGTATTTCGGTATATTTAAATTACACAATTCCAGGGGTGCGTTTTGGTGGTCATAACTAAAAACAGGCTCTGTTGTTTCTCTTTGGTTAATTGCTTTGGGGGTTTGAGTATTGCATTGTCGTGAGTAATTCTCATCCATTTAAAATTCCCGAAGAAATTCGCCGACAAGAAACAACCGAACCAATTCTTGGTTATGACCGCCAAAACGCACCCCAGGGGTTATGATCGCGCAATGCATGGACGGGGGACACAGCTCCGTGGACGGGGGACACAGCGTGCGCGAACTGTACTGTACTGGTTCGTGCGCAAAGTACGCACAACTTCCTGAGTGTGCAAAAGCTATAGCAACCGCGTCTTCGCGAGGGCGTCAGGCGTCGTCGGCGCGCGAATACATTCGAATTCAACTTGCAATGGTCTCCGAGACTAATCTCCGCCTCCAACTTCTTTGGGGACATTCGGAATACGCAGTGGATGGATCGGGAACCAGTCTAGATCATTCCAAACTCTCCTTTTTTGGCCGTTGATGGGGTACTTGTGCACGGAGCGGATAGAGTCACGTTAACGGAGCTTGTCCAATTACACCACAGATACAGAATAAAAAGACGGACGCGGAACGCGCAACATCTGAGAAAAACACAACTTATCGTACAAAAATTCCATAGGGTTGTCTAAAGGGTGTGGCTACCTCGCAAACGGCGATAGGTCAATCGGTGGGGGACGGGCGAAATGCCCCTCCCCACTTCTTAAAATTGTTGGACATCACATTATTTGTCCCCTCCCTCCTCCCACTTTTTTTTTCTCGCCCCGAATAAAAACGGTAGGCCTATATTTCATTCAAACTGATTCATTTTCGGTAATACATAGAGCCTTAAGGAAATAATTCCATCCAAACTTGAAAAGAATTTTTAAATGTTTATCAAAACATCAACACCGAAACCTACATTGCATTGGTTCGTGCACGTACATGAAGACCCAGTTTGATCAATACGTGCTATAGCGCTGTCGGGCCGGACAAGTTCAATACTATCTCACCTGTGCATTATTGCGAACGATTAAATCTAGTACAGTGGATCCCACAAGAATTAGGAATAGTTCATTTTTTTAATGGAGTAGAGCCTTCAATACACTGATTTCATGCAGCAGCAACATACATCAGAGGCAATGACGGGACCATCTGATCTTGTTATCTTTTACGACTGCACTTGGGACAATGGGGGATTTGTGATAACAATAACCCGAGGACCTGAGTTAAGTCCTCGGGAGTTTTTCGTGTACAAACCTTGTGGGAGATGTTGAGAAAATGTGCAGACAATGGAAACAAAAGAAGGGAACAATAGGAGGTCCTCATATTATGATAACACGACTGGGTGTAGGGGGTAGTAGTGGACCTTGAACAAAAGAGGACAATTGGGTCCACGATTGACCGAAGGTCCACTTTTGAGGTGTGTGGACAAAACATATGGAAGTATACACAAAATAGGGGCAATAGCAGGTCCACCATTGAAGGTGTTTACAAAGGTGTACATGTACAGGGTTCCTTATTGGGTACAAATCACAATGGAACAATATAACCCATAAGGAAGTCTTTAGAAATCAATCTACCCCACAAGTGTAAAGGCTATGGAGTTCGAGATATTCAAATTGTGGACGTTGAACAATAGAGGACGATAGGGTCCACAATAGACCGAAGGTCCACGATTGACGATCGTGTACAAAACATATAGGAGGTCTTCCTAAAAACTACGCAGACTGCGCAGACAGCTACAGCTGTTGGCAGCACTTCCGGATGAAATTTTCGCACAGGTTAAATCATTTTGGTATATTTTTTTTCAAGTAACGTGTTAGCTCATCAGCATCTATTTTACAACCCAGCTGCCGATCCTCTTTTTCCCCCCAGGTACACACTGGATGCTACGCATTATCAACCTCATCTTGGGAACCGACTCTCAATCTCTCACCTCTCCGATTTTCGAAGCAGTATTGATATCTGCTGTGACAAATCCCGACGCGCCACGACGTATGGGTTACCAGGTGGTAGCAGAACTGCCGACCGATCGCCCAAGGGTCCTGTACACTCATCTCCCAGCTACGCACGTGCCAAAGTCATTCTGGAACACCGATGGAGTCAAGGTACCTGACGAGTATTACTCATATCCTTGCAACCTCGTTCCCCATGGGTACGATCGTGCTGCGCCATGTTGTTTCCCATCATGCCTTGCGCGATCTTGTTAGTAAGGAACGCCCACGCGCCCATGGAGTCGAGGCTGCTATCCCTGTGAACGTTTTGTGAGTTTTAGTTTCGCTGCGTGAGTATAGCTCAACGGGCCAGGAATCCTCTTTTTCATGAACTATGATTGTGAAGTAGATTTGACATGAAAGACGTACCCAGTGGCATAACTAGGGTTGAACTTCTGAGGGGAACGTGGGGGTGCACACATTTTTCATAAAGTTGTGAAAAATCATACTTCTGTTCAATTCAAGATTTTAAATGGGGCATGTCCACCCCCCGTAGTAACGCCTGAGCCTGACCCGAGTCAAATGAGAAAATACCCCGTACGACTGCATTTACTATTCGAAAATGTGTTCATTCATGTCTCGATAAAAAAAATGACTTTTTATGGCTAGAAAGATAACACTTCCAAAAGAAATCACGATTTTCATCTGAAACTTGATAACCGTAGTGACAGTTCATCTTTGAAGAACGATTCCTCTTTCTGAACCATTGCCTAGATAATCTACGTGATACGAAACCCAATCGACGTCATAAAATCTGGATTCAAATTGGATTCGAACATCTTCAGCGATTTCCCACCGTTTTCTACATATTTGAAAATGACTTTTGATCCCAAACAGGGTAAGTAAAACAGTAATACTTCAGTATGATTTTTTTTTAAAGGGCGATGTCATGCTTCGCCTCGACCGTTGCGCGGCGGGGGAGGCGGCTTCGCCAGTCAGTCAGTCAGTCAGACAAACATTCACTTTTCATAGGCAAACACTGATACCGTGTTCAGACTACTTGTTGTTGCGGCGCTATTGTCATACGTTTGTCGTCTGTGCTAGACCATTGCATATTACTTTTGTTGATATTGTTACATGTGTCAAAGTGGGGACCGATTCTACTAGCAAATACTACTTACCCGTAGAGTATTGCTACATTATGCATATTACATAGAGGGCGATAGCCATTCACTAAGATGTACTGCCCAAAGTGCCCACAGCGGGTGGTGGGCAATGTAAGGGTAAGTATTCGCTAGTAGAATCGGCCCACACTTCTGTGGGGGAATTCTACTGCGCTCAACGTACCTGTAGAGTATCGCTACTGCAGAATAGCACCGTTGTGCGTGGGTGGGTTTGCGTACGAGATGAGAGTGCACGATGAAGGTGGGCCGCAATGAAGCGTGAGCCCTGAGCCAACATGATTAAAACCACTTATGGTAAACCTGAGGAATCGGCTCTCACCTTAATGGGATAAGCCGTCACTGGTCGGTACTGCAGGGCGCCAGCGGAGGAGGAACCGGATCCGGTTGCACCGCTGGGGAGAGTAGAGAGGGCTGCGCGACCGGTTCTGCCGTCTGCCTGCAGCACATCCCTGAGATACAGGAGGTGAAGGTGTTGGAGGATTTTCAACATGCCGCTTGTATGATTTCCGCATGGAGTACTCCTTGAAGAAGGCCCACGAGGTCGCCACGCTCCGAACTTCGTGGGCGTTGTCCAGGGTAGGCTGGTCAGACGATATCAGTCGTATGGCCGTCACGACCCATCGTATCGCGGGATGCTGGACGATGCGGTGAAATCGTGGTTATGAACGAACAGAGCCTGGTGGTCACCGCGGATCAGTGCAGTCCAATGGAGGTACCACTTGAGGGCCCGGACAGGGCACCAGAGCTTGTCTTCTGGAACAGAGGAGTTTAAGTCAGGAATAAAAAAAATATCAAGCGGGGAGAATATCGCCGACTGGTTCTTTGTGAGGAAAGAGCCATGAGGGATCTGGCGGACCCCACCGGGCTTCCAACGGTCCTTGATATAATGGTCAGCCGTCGCGTGCTTGCAAGACCCGCCCATGATGACGGTAGAGTGTACATTGGGGGGGGGGGGGAGTCGTGAAACATTACATGCCTCAGAGGAGGTGAGTGAGGGCGGTGCAATCGAATATCGAAGAACCCTCCCAGAAACCTGGATGAACAGCCGCAATTGCGGAGCGATATTTCTTGACAGTGCGAACCTCAAGACCCCACTGGATGAGATGGCAAAGAAAAAAGAGTTGTAAGGAAGGGATCCACCGCACACCGTCTGCACCATACAAATGTTGTAATCGGCTCGCGTTAACAGTTCGGGTCGACTGCACTGTCATCGACTTCGGGCCGCGATGGCGGCAGCCTCTTGAGAAAGCCCAGCGTATCTGAAGGAACGCTGGACATCGGCCAGCACGTCAGGTGGAGGCTCACCGGATCGGGCTGAAGCAGGCCCGACTGAGAGGCTGACGAAGAGTGTCTGGCCGTTGTAGGTGGATGAGTGGGACATAGTAGAGAAGGCTGACAAGTCGTGGAAGCCACAGTTGTCGAGGCCAAAAAGGGGCAATCGGAGGACCGTCATGCATGGGTCCTGCTCAATTTTCCCGAGTACTTTGGGAAGTATATATAGGAGATCGGTGGAAAAGTGTAGGCAGACAGGTTGCCCCACGCGAATGAAAAGGTGTCAGTTCGCCACGCCTGGGGCTCCGGGGATCTGGAACAGTACACCGAGAGCTGGCGGTTGAGTACTGTTGCGACACCCTGATCGATGTGCGGTGAGATCCAACTGTTAGAAGATTGTCCGCGCGACCGAGGTTGGGAGCGTCCACTCTGCGGGGCGAATGCGGTCCGGGGGAGAGAGCATCGTGTTGAACGTGTCCACCAGATGGACCGCTCTGAGAGAGATGGCATGCCGGCGACACCAATGCAGTAGTTGTCATGTGAGTAGGCATATACTTGGGGAATGTGTCCCGCCTTGTCGGTTGATGTAACTGTGACACAGTCGTGTTGTCGTAGAGGGATGAAAACAGATTTACCAGGCAGCCCCATGCTTTGAAAGCGGTGAAGGGCGTTGAATACTGTCAGTTCAAGAAAGTTGATGTGCTGGGTGGTCTCTGCTAAAGTCAATGAACCCGCCATTTGGTGAGATTTCATCACCGCGCCCCAACCCAGCAGAAACGCATCTGTCGTAATGGTCACGGTTGGATCCCAAACAGGGTTGGATCCACCACCGGCGATGTGGCTGGATATGCAGTGAACACGGTACCACCTGGGATACTGGGTGGGACCATGGACGTAACATTTGCCAGGAGGCTGAGGAATCGCAACCAAACCAACGTTGGAGCTTTGGTTGTTATACCAGAGGGAATTAGCGCAATTAGAGGAGGGAATTAGCGCAATGACAAACATTGGCGACTGTGTCGGGTAAGCCGTGCCCCGTTGAAGACCGAGGACGGCATCTAGATAAGTAGGACAGTTGACAGGATTGGCTTGGATTTGGACTCGTTGATGTGGAAACCCAGGCCCTCGGCAAGGGAGTGGGTCTGGCGGACTGCGGACGTGAGCAGCTGATGCCCACAATTCGTCGATGAAGAGCCAATCGTCGAGGTACATTAACACCTGTAGGCCTTGACAATGGAGGGCACTGGCCGGCGTCTTCACAATTCTAGTGAAGACCTGAGGGGCCTTGGAACTCGTTTGTGGTGCCTTCGTAGAAAAGCCGAAGGAGCCTGGTGTGGTTGGGTGGTTTAGAACGTGGAAATATGCGTCCGTGAGATCCAGGAAGGCGGCAAAGCAAGGGACCGGAGGAGAGTCGAGGACAACTCTGACTGTGTCTATACGAAACGGTTTTATGAAGCGGTTGGGGGGCCGCAGATTCAAGATCGGGCTCCACAACAGACTGTGCGTCCTTTTTGGGGGGGACCACGAACTGACACTCCAGTTGCGCGTGAGTGCGCTGCACGCGCGCGTATTTACAGAACCAGGATATTTTGGCCGGAAGTGACATCCGCCACAATGCGGCACTTTTAGAGCGCACCCTGTAGGCCTACATTTTCGGTTTTACGAACTGACACTGACCTTAATTTCACCAATTAAAAAGCTTTTTAATTAATTTTGTGTGTAAGCACACAAGTAAACGGATGGATTCGTGTAAAACCTTTCAAACCGTTTTTCTCTGTTCTGTATTGCCGCATTATGCTTGGGTCAATTGGGTGTCATTTCGTGAAAACGAAAATCTTCCTCAGTATTTGCACCAGTGTACGTGTCCGATGCGCGCGCACTACCGGGTGTCAGTTCGTGAAACCGAAATTGTTGATAATTTGGTATTCACGAACTGACACCTACACGCGTGAGTGTCAGTTCGTTGTGCCGATGACGATTTGTCTATTTGTCGATAGTGAACAAAAGGAATGCTCACTACCTCCTCATCGTAGATGACTTATCCGCTGTTTCGCTTTGACTTACCGAGATAATTTAAAGGACGTTACCATTTTCTCTAAATTGTCATAGGCTATGTTTCCGAGTTACTTTTTATCTCAAAATATATTTTTTGAAAAGTTACAATTGATTAAAAAAACAATACATTTTAATACCCCTTGCATTTTTTCACCAAACCAGCACATATGGGTACTTGGATAAATCATGCTAGAAGTTTTTGGGAGAGACGAAATCACAAAAATGTGCTCTTCGTTTACTATGAAGACCTTAAAGAGGTAAGCTGTATACTTCACGTGTTATATAAGAATTATAGTCATGTATTAGATATCTCCAATGACAATTTTTCTCGACAGGATTGAGATCAGGGTGACCGTAAGATCAGAGCCAAATTCTGCTAAATGCACATCAAAAATCTGTCAGATTTATCAAAAATCTGCCAAATTCCCAAGAATTACTCGAAATACACTATAAACACTTATAATTAAAGTTCAAAGTACATAATAAACAATCTAGTCACATAAAGATGTTGTGAAATTATTAATAAATTTCGGGCAAAGCGTGGATCCGGCCACGACGAAGTCCGTAAACCCAGTGAACCTCGGCACCTAGACCAGCCAACCTGTTCCATTATACAGGGGTTTGTTTGAAAGGATTGAAGCTTTTTAAACGAATGTACAATTTTTTGTTCAAATTTGCTGTTATTCTGTCAAATAACCATTTTTGCGGAATTCTGCCATAAATCTGTCCAAAAAATCCATTCTGTCAAATTTTCTGTCAAACTCGTGTTTTAACAAAAATTCTGTCAAAGTTAGCCGAAAGTCGGCTAAAACGGTCACCCTGATTGAGATCCAGCAGCACATGAAGGATAAGGCCGGTGTGTAGACGGTAATTTTGTGCCCCGGTAAAGCTGTCCGGGGAACAGATTTACCTAGGTCAAAGTGTTCCCCAGCCCGTTAATTTGTTCCCCTCCATTTCTCACGATTCTTATACGAGTTTGAAAAAACCCAAGAATTTAATATAATAGACTTACTGAAATCAATGTGTTCAAGACAGCTTCCTGCCCTCCACAGATCCAGTGGCGGATGGGGGTGCCTATCCCCACCAAACAAAACAAAACAAAAAACACCATGGTCAGTCGCTGACTAACATTATACTGGTAGAATGGGGCCTAATTAATAAACAGAATGCACAAAGTTCCTAAATGTATTCTCAAATTGCCTTAGAATGCTGGAGAGAGCATGCATGGTAGATTTAAAAAATAAAAATACACCCTTCGCCGAATAGTCTGAGTATCACCCGTTATCCACGGAGCCCATAACGTCTGATATGTCTAAGCATGCAGATTTATGCGATCCCATGCCTCAGATAATCGGAGTCGATTTTACTAAACCATGACGTCATTCCAACATCAGGACTCAATGTTTGATTGGTCAATTCGAATGCAATGGTTTGTAATACAACAACGGCCGGGCGCGCGTATCGCGTAACATAATACAGAGCGCGTGACCACAGCCTTTGTTGCTGTGTCTAGATTTTTTATCCTTGCCTATGACGCGACAACAGGTGAATGACCGAAGACCCGAAATAGAAAGCGCCCACTGATTGGTCAAAATCTACATGTCAACTGGCGGTTGTCTTGCATAATTAATCAGCGAATCTGCTCAAATATCATAGACCATGGCTCCGCCATAGTCTATTTCATAGACTACTCGCCGTCACGGAGTGAATAAAACCATTTTACATCCGGGGAAAAAAACAGCTAACGCAAATATCCGGCTGTCAACGTACATAATAATATTCGGAAAACGTCAGACTTTTTCGGAAACGGGCAGGATCTCCTCAGATGATAATTGTACCTTTGAAGTATTGCATTTTGTATCAATATCCTAATTTTCGCCCAGAGTTTCCAACCAACCGTTGCCTCGATAGCAAACTTCCTGGAACGCCCTCTTTCGCAAGGACAACTCGACTGGGTTCAGGAGCGGTCTACCCTTGAGGTCATGAGAGCTATTCAAGCTCAGTGTCCACCGAACAAAGGCACTGGTTTGGAGACTATCATAGACAGAGGTACGAAAGCCCCGTATTTGAAATGGGGCTCAGATTCCTCTACAGTTTGTCCCCAAAAAGTGTCCGTCTGACTATTTCTAAAATAACTATAAAACTATGCATTCAATATTGATTTTTTTCCAGATACTCCTGATCCTTGGCCTCAAGTTCAGTGATGCGTGACTGAAATAAAATAAAACTCATAAAGGGTTTTAAGGAGTATCTGCACAATCAAAAAAAAATTCAAAATCTACTTCATGATTTTGTAGTTATTTAACAAAAAAAAAAAAAAAAATGTTTTTGAGGACATACTGTATAAATACTGCACTGTAATCTAAATAGGAAGGGAACATATTTTGCTTGCGGTGGAATAGAGACTGTTTTACGATTCATTTTTGGTTCGGAAGTAATTTTTGGTTCACAGTAATGTCGCTAGGAAAAGGCAGTTGGGCTTTCCTAGCCTAAATGTCAAATTTCCATATATTTTTCGGGGGGGGGGGGGGTTGAAATCTTAAGGATTTTGTTTTTGGCATATCAGGACCGGGGGAGGACAATACCCCAGGCCTCTCCCCCCCCCCCCCCCCCAAATGTTTTCTAATAGCTCTGGAACGCATTGTCAGAAGATCTTGTTTGCAGTCAAAACATCGTGTGATTGTTTGTTGAAAGTTTGATGTCGTAATGGATGCGTTTGTTTTCGTTTTGTGTGTCTGCCTGAGTCTGTTTGTCAGGCATCATCATCATGTCGCCCGCAGGCGGGATCCCCTGCGGCGTTTCCAATCCTCTCTATCCTTTATACAAGCAGCCAACTCTGTTGTGGTCTCAGTCCCGGCATCTCTCCTCAGAACCCCGACATAGCTCGTCCTCTGTCTTCCCCTCCGCTTCACCCCATGTCTTTGTTTGTCTCGGTCAGTCCGTCAGCTTGTCCATCTGTGTCTATCTGCTGGTCAGTTGGTCGGTCGGTTCAGTGTTTGTCTGGCTGCCCTGTGTGTGTTTTTAGTTCATCTTTATCTATGAATCTGTCCCATGGTCTGCTGTTCGTGTGTTTGTCTATTGTCAGTTGTTCGTTTGTTTTTGTTGGCTTTTAAATATTATGGGTCAAGAGTTTTTAGTACATTCACTTATGTACCCAATGTTACTTTACAAGTGTACTTTGTTTAAATGTTAGGTTTAATTGTTTGAATTTATCCTTTTCACTCCGTGTAATTTTGCAATGTCAGCCTTGTGGCTGCCTGTTTCAAATTTTTAATAAACCAGAATAATAATAAAAAAGTGATGTATTTTTGTACATGGAAAGTATCAGCAAATATATGTATAGGGTTATATGCATTTGAATACCTAGTAAAACCCTTTCAAAATTTAAAGTTCCTTTCTTATCTTGACATTCTAACATTAGTAAACCGAACTTGATCAATTACTGTCTATGTTCTTTTTATATCTGGTCTGCATTGTGTAACTCAGATGAACTGATAGTTGCACATGGAAAAACATTTCTATATCAACTGTAGCCTATACTGAATACATGTATCACTAGGGGTTAAAGTCCCTATTAAGTTTCATATTGACCCATCGCCGTTTGCGAGTTAGCCACGCCCCTTAGACAACCCTATGGAATTTGTGTGTGTTCAGTTTCGTTCATCTCAGATTGTACACGTTCCACGTCCATTCCGTATATATGTAATTTTGCAATGTCAGCCTTGTGGCTGCCTGTTTCAAATTTTTAATAAACCAGAATGATAATAAAAAAAGTGATGTATTTTTGTACATGAAAAGTATCAGCAACTGTTTCATCTTTCCTCCCGTTTACAGGTCTGAGCAATGAAGCGATCAAAGAGTGTTCCGATGAGGACGTAGCCCTCGTGAAATCTCAGCTCCAGAAGTTGGCTGACACCGACATTAGATACCTGAAAGAAATCCAGTAAAACTAATCGACACCTGAAAGAAATCCTGTAAAGTTAATCGACACCAATATTTGTTTACAGAGAAATCAATCAAAATCAAGGTTTGCGATTTGTCTTCTTACCGAATCGGTACAAGCCATGAGCGTCGCGAGGGGGGGGGGGGGCATTCCCCCTATGGAAAACCAAAAAAGGAAAAAAAAAAGGAAAATGAGGTGCGAAGCCATATTGCTGTTAATTTGATGGGGGGGGGTAAAAAACGGTAAAAAAAAACAACTCAATCAAAAAAATTGTTTTTCAGTGTTTCTTACATCAAAAGTATGCAGACATTATGTACGTGTAGGTATTTTACAGAATTTTAAACTAAAATTGTTTCAGTAATAAAACAACTGTATTTAAAGCGTATTCGATCTTAGACTCTGAAAGCTGTCGAAAGTATGACTGATTTAACTAATCATGATTAAAAAGCAAAATAACGTGAATATGGAACAATGCATAATTCTGATTTGTTTCATCATAATTTCGATTGTTTAAAGCCAATATTCGATTGTATTCAGTAAAGTGATTGGACGCACAGTACAACTTATTCATAGGCCTGTTGTTTAGCTTGGACATTGTTGTTATTTTGATTTTGCACTCAAAGGAATTTCCAACATGTCAAGTTCTTTTTTGCTGATTAAAAATTAAATAAACAATTCCTCCATCAGAATGTCCTTTTCCTTATATCAGTTTTCTTTTTTCTCAGTAAGAAGTGGACTGAATCTGAACATGTCTTGGTATCGAGTGTTATACAACGGGAACTTGGTGGGAGTTGAAAATAAAACTACATGTGTACAATGTACATTCATTGACAACAGTATTTTAACAATGACCCGACCCAAAATTATCAACCGCGAGTGATGAATCCACAATTAGTTTTTCCTTTTAATCGCGGGACGACATTGTTTGCCATAAAAGTGATGATTTGTCCTCTTTTTTTTTTAAACAGTCCATTCCCTTTTATGCAAACCCAGCAGGGCTTGCCCGAAATGTTTGATTTATCTGAATCGTGTATTATCAGGAGTACTGGTCACATGCAATACGTAAATGCACAGACGGAACTAAGGCTTATTTATTGTATGTCGACTATAAACAGACTTTTGTTAAAAGAGAATTGTATGCCTGAATACCCGTACCCGGTCCCGGTGTTTTTGTTCTTGTAAAGTTGTCTGTTTCTTGTTTTTTTTTTAATATCTTTTCAGATACTACTGCAGTGGCGCACCCAAGGGGGGGGGGGCCTCGGGAGGCTCGAGCCCCCCCCCCCCCCCCGAGGTTGTCAATTTGTTATTTTTTAATGTTAAATCCACGATTTAACCTTGTGATATGTATGTGGCCTATTTTCGAGTAGTATAATAGGGGTGTCAGTGGCGCCACCAACGTCAAAATAGTCCTTTCCCTCCCCCCCCCCCCCACACACACACACACACACCCACCCACCCATACTTGTTTCACATGACTAGTGTGGACTTTCCATTGCTTTCGTGTAGTTAAGAAAAACCAGTGAAAAAACTCATTTTTCTCAAACTGTGAAAACTCTTTCAACCCAATTTTTTTTCTATGATTCCCTTTAGTGTTTCTCTTCATTCTGCTACAGATAAACCTAACCCAAAAATGTCTCTAAACCTGTTTTCCAGAAATGGGAGACACTGTGTGGACGTGGGCAAGTCCACACAACGTCGGTGCTACCTACATTATGTGGACGTCTTTTGTTCGGAAGTCCACACTGCGTATGTAAGACAAGCTCACCCACCCACACCCACCCACACACACAACACTTTTTTTCTGCGGCCAAAAATTTTGGGCAAATTTATTTTTAAAAAATTTTACTTCTAAAAAAAATTTGTTTTGAGAATTTTTTTTTGAGCCCCCAAAAAACAAATCCTGGTTGAGAGGGGTTCTGTTCCCCCTTGGAGTTGTCTATGTGCATAATGCATTATGGGTCACCGACCGGATGTCCACCCTGCCAATTATCATTGGAAATCACCGCCCTTTTTACGTTCCATGAAGAATTAACGCCAACTGTGTATGAACAAAATTTCACTCCAAAGCCACCTACATGTATTTCCCACACTGAAGCTTCTCTTATTATCATTACATTTACATAAAAACGTCAAATTTGAGGATTTCTTTTAAGTTGCCCAACAAAACTCAGTACAATGTATTAACGAATACAATAATTTCGAATACAAAAATATATGTATAGGGTTATATGCATTTGAATACGTGGTAAAACCCTTTCAAAATTTAGAGTTCATTCTTATCTTGACATTCTAAAATTAGTAAACCGAACTTGATCAATTACTGTCTATGTTCTTTTTATATCTGGTCTGCATTGTGTAACTCAGACGAACTGATAGTTGTACAATGGAGAAACATTTCCATGCATCAACTAAAGGTTGAAGTCCCTGTTAAGTTGCATGATATTTGTTCATGACTTTGTTCCCAATTCCTGTATCTACTGACCTTACTTCCACTTCGGGGGTTCAACACCCCTCCCCCCCCCCCCTCCAGCCACATTGCCTCAGTCTGAGTGATTGGGAGGGAGGGGGATCACCAAAACCTGAAGTGGAATACTGTATCTTCTGGCTTATGGGAATGGACACACAAACGTAGCATGTCTTTGTGTGCTGCAAGTTGCATCCATGTAAACAGTTTGGGTGTAAACAGCGGCGGGGGCATGGGGGAAACCCCCCCCAAAAAAAAAAATTGTCGCCTCCAGTCCCCCCCCCCCCCCCACTTGAAATTGGCCTTCCCTTATTTTAACATCCAACCCCCCCCCCCCCCCCCCCCCCCATATGGTGAGAACACTAGCTACGCCCGCTAGGTGTAACACGATTGGTGTAACACAATGCACATTAATTGAAAACAGGAATTTTGGCCTTTAACTGGGCTACAAATGCTTTCTTTTAGATTGTGTGAATTTAAAACAGCACCTCAAATCTCAAATTGAGCAATACCATTTTACAGTTGAAGATTGTGCCTAAAAATCTTGCCATCTGCTGCTATAAAACACTATTCATAAATACCTCAGACAGTTTAGCTATTCCTATTGGTCGAGAGCCCGTCACGTGGCCGGTATTAAACGGATGATAAAGACATGGCTAGCTGGTCTTAAACACTTTTCCAGTGTCACAATAAAATGTGGACTCCTAAAAATCCAGTGCCTCTTACCGTTTCATTGGTTGAACGTTCACAATCCTCACGTAGGCATGCGCAACACTACAAGCGAGTCAGAATTTTATAGTTCTAAATTCAAAACGCAACGCCCCAGGTGCGTTCTGCGTAACATCGCGCAGAACATGTTACGCGCGCGTCAATCTCCATAAAAGGGTTGTTTACATCTTACTCGCCAGCTGAACACTCCATTATTTTGCTAGAAGGATGTTTCAAAAAGCATGAAGTGAACTTGTTGAACAAAATCGGGATTTTTTTGAACGAATTATTTGAATTTTTTTTACGGAAAAGGTATTTATGAATGGGAATAAATATGTGCTCGGTCGGTATTTATCACTCCGTTTAATACCGCTTAGAGTCTGGGTGCTGATAATTACCCTCGCCTCCGGCTCGGGTAATTATCAGCACCCAGACTCTAAGCGGTATTAAACGAGTGATAAAAACCTCCGGAGCACACATTTATTCCCTTAATAGTACACAGTAACATTCACTGAATACATGTAGCACATAGTACAACAAATAATAAATACATGCAACGCGTCACGCGTCGTGAATCTTCGTTTCAAATGACGTCATTTCCTAGTCCACGTGCATCAGCATTTTGAGCGTCAACTTGCATAACGCGCATCTGCTGCGTCGTATATCGAACACATTTCGAGCAACAAGCGCGCGTGTTATGAACATTTTCAACACTGCGCAATGTGTGCTTGTTTGCGTAAAATATGCACTTGCAGTTCTCCTACACAGATGGCCGTTGTCATTTGTATGACCGATCGCCGTTTGCGAGTTAGTTACGCCCATTGATCTCCATATACTGTGTATATGGAGATCAATGGTCACGCCCCTTTATAGACAACCCTATGGAGTTTTTGTACACTAATAGTTTTGTTTGTCTCAGATTTTGCTGTAGCGCCCCCCCCCCCAAAAAAATGGTACGAGCCCCCCCCCCCCCCCCCCCCCCGAGGTTGTCAATTTGTTATTTTTTAATGTTAAATCCACGATTTAACCTTGGTGATATGTATGTGGCCTATTTTCGAGTAGTATAATAGGGGTGTCAGTGGCGCCACCAACGTCAAAATAGTCCTTTCCCTCCCCCCCCCCCCCCCCCACACACACACACACACACACACACACCATACTTGTTTCACATGACTAGTGTGGACTTTCCATTGCTTTCGTGTAGTTAAGAAAAACCAGTGAAAAAACTCATTTTTCTCAAACTGTGAAAACTCTTTCAACCCAATTTTTTTTCTATGATTCCCTTTAGTGTTTCTCTTCATTCTGCTACGGATAAACCTAACCCAAAAATGCCTCTAAACCTGTTTTCCAGAAATGGGGAACACTGTGTGGACGTGGGGTAAGTCCACACAACGTCGGTGCTACCTACATTATGTGGACGTCTTTTGTTCGGAAGTCCACACTGCGTATGTAAGACAAACTCACCCACACCCACCCACCCACCCACCCACCCATACTTGTTTCACATGACTAGTGTGGACTTTCCATTGCTTTCGTGTAGTTAAGAAAAACCAGTGAAAAAACTCATTTTTCTCAAACTGTGAAAACTCTTTCAACCCAATTTTTTTTCTATGATTCCCTTTAGTGTTTCTCTTCATTCTGCTACAGATAAACCTAACCCAAAATGTCCTCTAAACCTGTTTTCCAGAAATGGGGAGAACACTGTGTGGACGTGGGCAAGTCCACACAACGTCGCTGCTACCTACATTATGTGGACGTCTTTTGTTCGGAAGTCCACACTGCGTATGTAAGACAAGCTCACCCACCCACACCCACCCACACACACAAACACTTTTTTTCTGCGGCCAAAATTTTGGGCAAATTTATTTTTAAAAAATTTTACTTCTAAAAAAAATTTGTTTTGAGAATTTTTTTTTGAGCCCCCAAAAAACAAATCCTGGTTGAGAGGGGTTCTGTTCCCCC